ATTCAGCCTTTGATTTTATGCCAGCCATTTCCCAGACACACTGCGCTCCCTAGTCCATACGTCATGGTTTTCCATGGTTACCTACTATAGTGGTAGCTGGATGTTCCATGCATTTGCCGGGGAAAGCCCTATGTCTTTGCCATCACAGAGGCCGCACCGTTCGTTACCATTGAATGCGGCAGCTATCGGCTTCCCAAGGCGAAGCAACAATGAAGCAGATCCCAATAATACCATCACCGAATAGCAAGTTTAAGGGGACCCACATAATTGGTGGGTTTTCCTCTAGGTTTCCCTTTGAACCACGGACACTTGCCCAAAGCGAAATCAGCTGAAGTAACCTGTTAGTTTTTTCTGATATCCATAGCAACTGACTGAGAATGAAAAGGTAAACTCCATTGAACGGGCAAGTTACAAGTGAAATCTAACTGAGGTTACGGTCACAACTTGACTGCGCACGGAACAGTCAATTTAGGCATCGCCAGTTGGAAAGGCAAGTGCCCAGCGATGTTCGTTATGTTGCTGGGAAAGGCTCATGATTGGTGCGTGAATACGGGTGTTTCTGAAAACTAGAACCTGCTTTGGTATGATTCAAAGAGAACCCAGAAGGAAACCAACCTCCTGGAGGGGTCCTTAATTTTAACAAGCACCCATAGTGATTGCGCGCATATGCCAGCACATTTGGGCGAAAGTTAACGAACCTCCTGGGGTTGCACGAACTCATACACGATCAAGGCCTCGTTTCTTGGGATTCGTTGTCTCAGTGTCGCTCAATGATTTGGGGTCTCCTTCCAAAGCCGTTTTCTATTGTAGGGTAGACTAATCAAATATGAGCAGAGTCGAAACATACCATTTGTTTTTGGAGTGGGTCCCCTCCAAATCCATTTTGCATTTTAGGGTGACTGGGTAGGAGTACCCCAGATGGCCAAGACATGCCTTAGCAAGCGGTACCCGGTACCTGTTGACACTTAGCGCATCGCCCGGCTCAGTGGAAGACGAGCTCGAGTTGCGCTGCAGCCCGAACCTGAGTGGTGAAAGCTGAAGTAGGCAGGCCCTCAACGCTCACTTCCTGGGTTCCTGGACTTCAATTTATGGGAAGACTAGTCCTCCTGGTTTCCTGGACTCAAATTTTGGGGAAGACTATTCCTGGACTTCAAGTTATGGGAAGACTAGGTTTGCTCACCTCCTGGGTTCCTGGACTCAAATTTTGGGAAGACTAGGTTGTGGCGCGGTTGCTTGCTTTGGCCCATCTCTATCGGAAGTCAGAACATGTGTTTTTTCTCCCGAAAAGGCTTCCTTCAGAGCACATACCTATGAGGTTTGGTGAAAGTTGCGAGCAGTCTAGGATTCATTTGGGTGTGTATGCTTCTAGGGGACCCCGCAAATCCCTGTAAACGCATTTTTCCCGACATTTGCGAAGGTGAGAAGGGAGACAAGTTCTAAGTTTATCCAACAGATGAGTCCTGAGTGTCTCGATCATGTTCTCTTGTGAACCATCCTAATTTTGACGTGGCCCGTATACATGCATTAGAACGACACATTGACATTGGTATGTGTATTTTTGTTGAGGTACCCGTTTTTGCAATGGGGGGTAACCAAACAAAAAGGAAAGCCGCCATTGTTGAAGGTTCCCCCCCCTTTGGGCGTTTTGAAACACATCCCCATGATCTTGAAGCAGGACAGTTTGCGAAAGCCTTCACTTCCCCAGACCTCCAGTGCTGCCCTTGGTTCCTTGAAATCCCTGTGCTTGGTTCTTGCAACTTCTTAGGTCTTCCCTTGTTTGGACGGGGCGTTCCGTGCGTCAAACAAGGCCGCTGTGATTCCCAGGGCCTCCAATCAAATGGCGATGGGCCGACTTCTCAGGCACCAAATACCTGGGTGGCAGCCACCAGCTCATCCCAGTCCTGCGACCAGGCGCCTTTTTTCCAACCTCCTGACGAGTGCTTAGGGAGCCTCAGTGTCATGATTGGTGTTGGGGAAGCATTTTTATTTTTTTTTTACATGTTTGCTTCTTGTGGTTGAGTGGTTGAAATCCCCCACTTGGCTGCCAAAATTTAATTTAACTTTTTGCGCCCCGTCCAACGTCAACCAAGATTTGTCCCACCCACCACGGTTCTTATATTGAACTTCTGAAGACCTCCAGGGAGTGCGGTATCCAGTCGAAGGGCTGAAAGGGTGTGAAGTGGTAAGGCACCTTTTTGGGGCTACGAAGCCTGGGTTTTGTGCTTGGAAGAACGGCGTACCCACCAGGAAAATACAACCCTGATCAGAACCAGTGTAGATGAATGGCAAGGGACAGTCAAAGCCACAGACATTCGCGGCTTTTAGCTCTTGTGCGTCTTTATGTAGGGGGCCTAAAATAGATGGCTGTTTTGGTTTTGGTGCTACGTGGAACTCCAAAGTGGGTGTCCAAAACACAGACAATATTACCCGGTCGGCTTTGGGATTGAATTGATCTCATCGCACAATTGCAACCAGAATCTAAACTGCAAGTGTTTGCTTGATTTCCGCCAGTTTCACCGATGGTTCGCTGGGGTCTCCTTGTTATTGGAGTGCATAGACTAGACATGGTTGTGTCTCAAAAATGCGTCATCATCCGTGTTCCTTTGGTTTACATGCCAACCCCAAAAAGAGTACCGAATCCGAAAAAAAAGACACACTGTGAAAGAGACTCCGAGAAATCCCTCGTTCCTGCCAAATGTTATTCTTTAGCTTTTAGACAAGACGAGATGCCGGATATTGGACCAGAGCACATTGCTTGCTTTTTTGGTGCGGGAATGCAGCGAACCCGTGTGAGGCTTCCTGAGGGAGCCATGTTCTGAAACAGAATCATAAAGCTCCAGTACCCCTACACAGCACTCCGACGAGTTTGTGGATTGTAGTCACTTTTTGGGTGTGGACCCGGTTAGTGGTAAACAACAAGTTCAGACTTTTGGTGGCCAATCCACAGGAAGTGAGTTATGTTGCCATCCCGCCCAGTGCTTTCCGGCTGGGAGGTCTGCGCAGCCCGGGGGGACCAGTGTGATGAGATCGCCTTGAATCTGAGCCTTGGCAGCGCCTGGGAGATTCGGACGGTTTTCTACTTTGTCTGGAGTCACAAATGGCGCTTCACCCCAGTCCCTTATGTCTTGGACTTGAGTCACTTCTTAGGTCTTTCGTGGACATTAAGTTTGGACTTGCTTAACCCATTCAGGAAGAGAGATTTTAACAGTTCCTCGGGGCTATCAACGTCAGTAGGTGGATTCGGTTGTTTCCCTTGAACCTAGCACTGAGAATCGGTGACTTCGTTGAATAGGGAGGCCAGAGGGTGAGATACTGGCCAATAAAGGGCATGAGTTAGCTTGAGAGGAATCGTGCTATCTACTCCCAAGTGTAGCCCGAAAAGAGGAAAATGCTCCTCACTCCCTGAGTTCTTATACTTTTTGAACAGGCCATGTCAGTGGCAAACATAAAGTTTAGACTTGTTTTTCCAATCCACTCGATCGGAAATGGGTCTGGAGAGGTCCCCGGTTTCGTTTCCTTTTGATGGAGTCCCAGGTTCATTCTCTCTCTTTCCCTGTCTATTGCGCCAACAAGATGATGTTGATAAAGGTTAGGGACCACCCCAGCCATACATGGGTGCGGATATCCGCCTTTTAAGTTCCGTACATCCATTTGGGTAGAGCATATACCAGGTTTTGATTGTGACTCATTTGTTTTTGCAGGCTGAGTGGAATTTCCTCACTGGACAAACTCAATACGGATCGTTGAATGGCGTTGTAAATGACTCGCAGTTTCCGAATACACGCATTGTTCAAATTGGTTTGAGCCAAACTTGCTCGTTGAACTTATAGATGTCTTTAGTTTATGCTGGGTGTGTCTAAAAGCAGCGAACCCCAACACATTGCTAGTTGCATGGTTGAAAACTTTAAGTTCCCGCTTTCCCTTACAATCCATGCCATATAATCTGGTTTGCTTAGTGGCGCCCTTTCACCCGTTTTGTGTGGGTTCCCCACGGCAAATAGTCAACTCCAAAGAAGGGTCCCAGGAATTATTTGTCTACCGCGACCTGGTCAAGAGGTAAAAATGAAGGGACATGGTCGCAGTGGCTGCGTTTTTTTCTGGATATGGGGGGGGGTTCCTTTTGGGAGATCTTTACAGCGAACCAACACGGGGTACCCTCCAAAAATGACAGACTCCGTATATCGGGTTAGTTTTGGGTGGGTTTAGGGTTGGTTAAGGGTTGGTTTATGGTGGGTTTAGGGTAAGTTTAGGTTTTTAGTTTAGGCTTGATTTAGGGTTGGGGGTTCGGGTTAGGGTTAAGGGTCAGGGGTGTAGGGTTGGTTTAGGGTTGGGGTTTGGGGACCGTAGCAGCGGGGTGAGGATGCAGGACTCGGGGTTGGGCGCCCGGCGTTGGGGGGGGGGAGGGGCCCTAGGTGGCCTGGTGCCATATATATATATATATATATATATATAAATATCTATATACACACACATACATGAACTCTTTATTTGGGTTGGGGAACTCGCCATGAAAGCAACGCCGTATTGAAAGGGAGGGCTATAGCCTGTTGACACATTCGAATGCGAAGATACAAATGGAGCCAGTTGCCCGCGAATGCGGGGAAGCGAATAGGTCCAACCAGAAAATTATGCGGGGAGATCAAGGCCTTAGTTCTTTACATTGATTCGGGTACAGAGAAGATGGTCTAAAAAATGACGCCCCAGGACGAGTCTAACAAAGACCTTCTTTACATTGATTCGGGTACAGAGAAGATGGTCTAAAAAATGACGCCCCAGGACGAGTCTAACAAAGACCTTACGCAGTTCAGACAACAGCTTCCATTTGCTCAAGACTATTTGTGTTTTTTCCCCTTGTCGGTTTAGCTATCTCTACTGGACATACTTTTGTGTTTTCCAGGGCATATTGGCAAATAAAAGATGGCACTCCCCCAGGTTCGAGTATGACTCGACTTGTTTGAAGAGTGCTCGGGGCGGCTGCCAGGATCGACACCCAGGAGGAGATGGAGTACTTGAACCAGACTGCTGCACCAATGGCATGAGTTTCTCTCGCCCCGACTTTGACCAACCGCGAGGAAACCCCCTGTCACCCACGACCTCAGGCAGTGGAGCAACTCAGTTGGAAAGATGGGCAAACTCCAAAAGTGGGCTGGGGTGGGTTGGGGGGTGGGGTGGGGTGGGGTGGGGTAGGGTGGGGTGGGGTAGGGTGGGGTGGGGTGGGGTGGGGTGGGGTGGGGTGGGTGGGTGGGGTGGTGGGTTGGGGGGGTGGGGTGGTGGGGGGGTGGGGTGGGTTGTGGGGGGGGGGGGGTGGGGTGGGTGGGGTGGGTTGGGGGGGGGGTGGTGGGGTGGGTGGGGGGGTTGGGAGGGGGCTGCGTGGAGAGCAATCAGTTGTTAGCCTCTCGGATCGTTGGTGGGCGACCCCTGTGGGGACACAACAACCCCCAAACACACCATCCCCCCAAAACAACCCCCCTTGGAGAAGACCCACATGGACCAGAACGGGGTGTGGGGCAGTGTGTTTTGTGGCTAGGGCCATGACATGCCCGGCCAACCTCACCTTTGAAGCAACCGTGCCACGACCCGGCGAGCTACAATCGATTGTGTTACCGATACCTTTCCCTGATCTGTTCGCTACAGCAGATTTGCAGGTAGTCCTTATGTTGTACATCCTGCTGCCCTGGCTAGCTGCAGGGATGCTACGTTTGGGTCTCGGCTCGGGCAGTTGATGGGACTCCCAGAACTTTCCAGAGTTGTGGAATCCCTAGTCTCAGATTCAAACGGCCAACATGATATAACAAGGAAAATACTTTGATCACCAAACCGGCGGGTTCATATATCCACTATAAGCTTTGAGTAACCAAGCTTGAGTAAGGCCAAACTCTTAGCAGGTGATCTGAAAACTGACAGCCCAGACAAGCTTTGAAGACTTGGTTCTGGCCCATCAGCATGTTTTCATTTAGAAAAAAAGACGCTCTGCGCCCGCAAATGTGGGGATCTCCGGGTGCCAGGTGCCAAGACTTAGGTGGGCTCCTTTGGTTTCCCTGCCCGTGTGAAAAGGGGCCACCCGAACGCACCCCACCCTGGGATTGAAACTCCACAAAGACAACGGCTGGGTTCATATTTCGCCAAAAATCCGATTTTCGTCGAAATTGGGTTGCCTTGATTGCAATTATTATTGTTTGAACCCGGTGCTTCCGATTACCATTAGAGTAGGTAGCTCTCTTTTTTTTGTTTACCTCCGCGCTTTACATGATGGTTTCCTTTGGCTACCTACTTACTATACTGGTAAGTCGAAGCAGTGCGGAAGGAAGGGGCTGAATCCTGTCCAACCAACTAAGTAGGTTTCAAGCGAGGATAGAATTGGGGATATCTGAGGTAGGTCCCCTTATAAGCATGGTTATAGCCTACCTACTGACGTTGGTTGAACATCCAAGTTGGGCCAGTTGATATGTGTTCTAGAAAACGGTTTGGATGTGGCTCTTGTAGATCCACCCCTGTACGATATTCAAAAAGAGTACTAAAAGCGTACTAGACGAGGGCCAACAGAGGGAAGAACAGGTGACTTCCACAAAAGGTGTGCGACTCCAAACCAGTTTCGACACATATGTGTTTTATTGAACGGCTTTGGGGCATCACCTTCAGGTTGCCAATTCCAAAGGCACGAATCCAACGGTTTCCGTCTGCCAGGGAGGTGCATGCCTGGACTTCGCGAACTACTCGTTCGCCAGCTCGCTGGGCGCCCGAGACAAAGGTCAAATAAAACACCTCGGGGCTTCCGGAAAAAACTTGGATAGCCAGGAGTCATTTTGTTTCATAACCATTCCTGCGTACCTGCATCTTCATTTCTTGCAAAAACGCAGGACTGGGGACATCGATTTCTGCTTTTTGGGTTGGGTTTCGGAGCCTGTTGGACTGTACACCAACACATTGTCGGAGCCTGTTTCTTCGAAGCAACTCATTTCCCTAATACACTGGCTGGCTGAGGAAGTGAGCAACGGTCAATATTTACCGTCATCTGCAGTCAGAGACATTAAAGACATTGGGTACGCTTACATTACCACCAGGAAATGTCAAAGTCGTTGGCTGGGCACGTGGCCAGAAGAAGCATAGTTTCCATCGCTCTTGTTTGGATGTCTCTCAGAATAGGGGAATCCCAACAAATAGTGTTTGAGCCTTTGTTGTCCCTTTCCAGCAACTCCCAGTACCCTCAAAATTACTATTTATACCCCTGCAGATTAACATGGAACGCAGACAACCGTCAGCTTTAGAGAGGAATCTCCTTTTTTGGGGGAACCCCTTTTTGGGTTCCATGTTAATTTTTATTAGAGTATACCCAGATGGGGGTTGAACAGTATTCCTGGCACACAAATGACCATGCGTAACTTTTCCCATTTGATGGTAAATGTAGTATTTCTACTAGTTGTTCAATGGTTCCATGCTTTTGATCAACCCCACATCCTTGACTGCCCGGCTCTTCTGTACGGTTGCCACTGCCCCCAAACCACTTCTCCTGGGGGTTTCTTGGGATATACAGCCGCTTTTTGCGCGACCGACCAATTGTCCAACAGATGATTATGTATTTATGCGGTCGGAATACCATAAAACGTAGAGATGTTGCTATGAAACAAGATGGTGCCCCCCAATTTATCAACGATGACAACGAGATAGTTTGGAGAAAGCCAAGCAATACTGATCCCGGAGCTGACCTTGTCAGCTGTGAGAGTGACCGGTGTGCAAAACTTTGAGTTTCTTGCCAGTGACGGGGCCCGACTAGCTGTGACAAAGCCGACCCTACGTAAGCTTTTCGCAGGCTCCCGCCATCGTAGCAGGGACCCACATGGCAGTCAGAAAGTAGACTGCTCACACCGCGACATCTATTGAGGCGGCAAAAAGACTGGGAAAAAACACAGCTTAAAACGACTTCAAGGCAAGTCTGTAACGAGTCCGATGCCTTCATAAATTGAACCATGGCACACAAGGGTCATATATATATATATATATACATATTCCATTTCCCCTTGCCTAACTGCCACTAGCGCAAGTTCATTTGAGTGTTTCTCAACATAGGAATTGCCCCGCCTCCCCCCCCCCCCGCCCAATAATGATGGGGTTGCGCTTTGTTTCCTCAAATACCATCCAAAAGGAGCTTTTCAACATTTGCTGAGAAACTCCCATTTCAGTGATGTTGGCGTGTCTCCTAGGGTACCTGTTTCGGGTTTAGTCAGGGAAAAGAAAAGGACACCATACAAAATGGAAGCCACGGGCTCGTGCATCATGCGAGCCATTTCCTTGATGGCAGAACTAGAGATCAATGGGTGAACCGGCAGCTCCGGATGTCAAATCGTTTCGGTGAGGCCTGGGATTTGCCTGGGCGGCAGCTCTTGCTGTGACGATTGCCTTGGGCTGTGCGCCCGGGGCCCCGTTGGCTTCAATCAGAACCCCGTGCTGGGAAACCGGGGTCCGTTGGCAGGCTTCTTTTTTTGGGATGCGGGGAAACCGGGGTCCGTTTGCAGGAAACATGCCTGCCTTGGTTTTGGTGTAAGTGGAAACCAAGAAGAAATCACGAGAAAAAGCTTCCTTTGGGAGGGCCTTTGTTTCCCTTTGCCTGTTTGAACGTTACCTTGTGGTTTAAGGCGGGGTTCCCTTTGGTGGGGTGGTGTTTCTGTGGGGGAGATATAGGGACTTACAATCATGTGGGGGCTATCTCCGACGACCATTCAAGGATACTACTTGCGGGGCGCACATGGGTCGAAGTACATCCCTCATGATCATACGTACTTGGACCCTCTGGGAGGATAGACATTTCTCGGAGACCTTCAATTGGTTCGATCCCCTTCGAGCAGGTTCAAACACCAATGCCAAAGGGGGACTCCGGCGGCCATTGTTATTTCCAGCCGAAGAACGTAGCTGGCGATCAAGACCGGACGCGATGGAAGTGTTGGCACCGGCATCATTGCTATGAAAGGCCTGCGGGGCAGGTCAAAATGACACTTCCAAGATTTGTGGCATCGCAGCTTGGGTAAATTTAGTATCTGGAGCAGAAAGAGTTCAAGTTCGGTTGCCCAGCAATGAGAACCCAGGCACGAGCGAACTTCTGCCTTACTCGGGGTCCCGCTTAAAATGGCATTGCTCACTGTTTTTTGTTCATGGCCGTGGGGTGAGGGGGGGACACCATCGAAACCTGCGTAGGGGAAGCACCACCACATTTTTTTGTTTTACGGCTATAAGGAACCCACCGGATCCAGGATAGAACTAGCTCACCATGATCCTGGGGGCTCAATGTTTTTTGTTTTCAGGTTTTAGTACTTGGATGTTTGGCCAAGTGGTTAGCCCGCTTATCATGGAGTTGACCCAGTCATTTGTGGGTAACCCAGGTGGCTAACCGCTTACTACCGTGGCCGAACACCCAAGTTAACATATCACAAACAAATGGGGACAAATGACACCGTCCCAACTTGACGACGCGAGGTCTTCGGCCACGCGGGGGAGCGCAGAAGTTCGGATCTCAGACATGCGGCATTTGACCTGTGCTTGCCATGTTTCCGTGTTTCTTTTTCCCCCCCGTGTTTGTTTCGAAAGGTGGTTCTTTTTTGTAATGTGAACCCTGGAATTCATAATCCTTGGCTGACTGGTATGACGCCTCCCTTTTAAGAGGGGATCCTTCACTTTTGGGGGGGCAGCATTCTTCGATTCATCCAGAAGTTTGATGACTCAGGGTCGACATTGAATTGTTCGAGGGTCATTTGAATGGTTGACGGGTCCCAACTATGCACATGTAATAGGTATGTATCAACTCTGGCTTAAACTAAAACGTCATCAAAGTATACCACGGGACCCTTTGCAGATCCTACACTTTCGATTTCTCCAGTTTCAGGTATCGACAGTGCCACAGGTGTTCTTTTGATTGGTTGGTTTTTCGAAATAGTTCCACTGCTTGGGATTGGTTTTTTATGCCCCATTTACCCAGGAAAGCCAGGGGTTTCCGGCTAAAAGGACACCTGGTGCCGGTTTGAAAGGGATGCGTCTCAGAACCTCCTGGGGAATTGGCCCAGTCGGTCGACCATTGGTCGCATGAGGGCAGATCTAGGCTTTGGTTGCTTTCCTGTGGTGATTGATGCTTTCCTCTGTTTGTGTGGAAGGAACATTGTCACTTGCAAATGTATCTCAAATTGACATCAACAAAATGGGCGGAGGCAAAGTGAGAACTCTGCGCGCTTCCAATGATTGGCAACGGCTCCCCGCCAAGGTCACTTTTCTATCAAACAGGATCCTAGAATAATTCAGCATGTTTACCCTTATTGATGTTTTGGCAGCCCCCTTTTGGGGAACAAATCCGCAGATTCACTCCAGCCCCTTTCGGTTGAACTAATTTCACAATAGGGGGGGACCCGCAAAACAATTGGCGAATTGGCTTCCTCGACGCTGTAAAGTACCCTATATTTAGGGTACTCTCAAAAGACATACCGCTAATATGACCGCTTGACACCCAACAATTGCCTCAAGCATTCCAGACATCCAGCGGCAATCTTGCTCGCTTCTTTGGGGTTGGGTTTACCTCCAAAAACAGCCAGCTTATGACAATCACGTGGATGTTCGGCCAAGTTAGGAAGTGGTTAGCCACTTGCATTCTTATCCACTAATAACAAGGTGAACTCTAGGGGGACATATTTACGCAGGTCCTTGTTGTCCTTCTCTGGGGATGGGTTTACCTTCAAAACAGTCAGCTCTTAAGAATCAATGCCATACCCAGGTTGCAGCGCCTCAGCCAACGGGCTGCTGCGATTTTGCCCTTGCCATCCCCCTGAGGAGGTGAGATGGATAGATGTGGTGCGTCACGGGCTGGATTCATCACCCCCCCCCCTCAACTCGGGTCTCCCCCAAGAATAACTCCCTAAGTTCTTGGATAGCTCTTGGATGGCAAGTTTGGACCTTTTGGGCTGGTCCACTGAGGAAGTGAGAAAACTATTTTTTAATGCTTTACGGTAGACTAAAAATGATCTATGCTTTGGGGTACTCCAGGCATCCAAGTCAGGCTGGTTTGGGGGAGAAATGGCAGACCGGTTTCTACTTGGATTCTCGGCCAGTACGTGGTTGGCCGCCTGGGGTGTAAGCCAATAACACGCTTGTAGCTTTCGTTAGCAACTGATTTGGCGAATCGAAGGTTCTCTTCCAGGGTTGTGGGATGTCTTTGGGGGACCTTTTTGTTGTATCACAGAAGTGGATGCCATTTCCCACAGCCCTGTTCTCTTCCCTCAGCGTTCTTTTTAGAAACCACTCTTCTCCAGGGGAGTTGTGTCCCACGGATGACACATTATGGGGGATCGGGTGAAGAAGTTCATGAGCATTTGGTCGAGCAACTCTCCTAAGGAAGTCTGGGCAAGGATCTGGTTTATGTCCCGAGAACAAACTGAGTCTGTGGCTTGTCGACCTCTTATCAACTTGGCTTAAAGGGAAGGCCAAAAGGGGGTTCTCTACTTGAACACGCCCGAAAGAAACATGTTTTTCCTGAATGGGCCACACAACGGGCGCAAGGCGCAACCGCCAGATGCGCCACCTGGCCTTCTTTGTGTGTTTTTTTTGGGTTCCCCGAACCAGGGCGCCCCCTGTTTGTTCAACCAGCTCGGGTGAAAGCGGGCGCAGCCCAAGTGTTCAGCACTCGTGGGATCCCGTTTTGGATTGGTGGGGGTCCTCGAATGTACGATTCTCAGAAAATTCGGACGCCCCTTGAAGGGCATTCTCAGCGAAGCATGTTAGAGTCTATGTTGCAGACTCAACAAAAACAACACCCTAAACAAAAGGGCTGCAACATAGACTCTGTGTCCACCATCCGGGGGTAGGGGAGGGACATTGTCTTTTTTGCCCTGTCCGGGTTGTTTGTGTGCTGTGGGCAAGAGGAGCTGATTCCTTCTTGCCAGTAAGCCAACCAGAAAGCATAGCTTGGCCACCTGAAATCCAATGGGGCCACCCGTGTCAAATGTCTGCCCGCCATGACCCTGGCTTCCAAGAAATCAGTTCCAAGCGAGACATCTACTTGGGCATGTGGACACGTTGGTAAGTTGTTGGCCACCTGAGTGAGAACCTACCAATAGCAAGGTCAACTCCACTTATAGGTGAACTATAAGCGAGTCTTAGACTTAGGATACTACTAACAACTTACAAACTTGTCGAAGAATGAACCAACCGACCCACCGACCCACCGACCCACCAACCAACCAACCAACCAACCAACCAACCAACCCACCCACCCACCCAACCGACCGACCGACCCACCGACCCACCTACCCACCGACCCACCGACCCACCGACCCACCAACCCACCGACCCACCGACCTACCGACCCACCGACCCACTGACCCACCGACCCAGCCAGGTTCAGGAAGCCAATGTCGCCGGCATCGAGGTGGCCGCGCACGTTCCTTTGACGCCCTACCACGAGGAGGCAGCCGGCAGATGTCGCTTCCCACACCGACGAAATTCCTTCGCAAATTGCTTGAAAGAGGGAATCGAGTCATTCCATGCTTTCCAAGGTGCGAAATGGATTTCGCAGCTATCCACAGTCCGGGGCCCATCTTTTTTCCCCGGAGGTCAGTGATGTTTCCAGACCTCAGCTCTGGGAATCCGATTCCCAGTGGGCGATCTCCGGTCTTGCAGGGGGGGCACCTTCAAAGTCAACCAACACAAAAGAGGAGTGCACGTCTTTTTTCCCATGGGCACTAGGGGTCTGGGTTACATAGTCCGCAAATCTCCACGTTCCCGAAAGGAGACCAACAGCGAGCGGGATGTTTGTGCTAAAAATGTCAGACCCTTGTTTTCTGTACCCTGTGGATGGACAAAGTCAACTTTGCTCCTGGGATGGATGAAGCATGGGATAAACCACCAATCCCAGGTGGCACCCACCACCTGCAGGTTGCAAAGGACACCTCTGCCAAACCACAAGCCATCCTCAAAAAAAAACGGATGACGAGTCGTGCTGCTCCAAGTACCGTTTGGGGAGGCAACATGTTTTTTTTCCAGGACAAACTTCTCTGTTTTGGTGGTTACCCTGGAGTAGGGGGTACCTCTGCAAATTCACATGTGCTCCTTAAAGGAGGTGCCCTTCCAAGAAGTTTCCTCTGACGGTTTTGTGGGTAATGTTTAGTCTGGGGAGTAGCACGAATCCGGATGCGTGGTTCCCAAAAGGGAGCCTCAAACCACCCTCCAGACAGAGACCCGTGTGCAACCTTTGGGTTCGATTCGCACCGCCTGTCGCCCCCAAAATCGGGCTCCCTGCTTTCCCGACACTTCACTGGGGTCACGCTTCAAAACAGAAAGTAAGAGTAGAAGCCTTGCTCCTTGATGCACAGAAAAGTTTTGGGGATGGATGTTTGTCCCTCAAGTCACTTGTTGCAGAATGCTTTGCCCAATCCCTGTACCAAAACAGAAGAAATATGCAGGGGTTTGGGCCCCGGTGACCAAGGGAACTCCTCACCTAGAAAGTCAACAGCTGGTTGGATTTGCGCCTGTCAATTTCAACTGGAAAACCACCCTTGTTCAGGCACCGTGCATTTAGTGGATTGGTGGTTTGAGATTCGTGGAGGGTAGATGGGAAGCCACCCCCCCAACCACCAAACCACCAAACTACTAATCCAAACCAACAGTAAAGCTGACTTGTGGGATCCACGAGAAATGGAAACTGGGATACGTGTGAGGATATACAGATTCGTAAAAACAAGGTGGAATGGTAGTGCTGCCTTTGGCGCGCTTCTCCAACAGCTATGGCTCACGTTTGTTTTGTTGTGCTTAAAGGGGCGATCGATTCGGTACGTCAGGCAAGTGGTTGGTAAGCCTGGTTATCATCCACTGAACGGAGCCTTCTAAGCATCGCTTTTGCCTTCTATCTCACCATGGTTGTTACCGACTTACCTTGACGTACCCGATCGCCCACAAAACAGTGGAGCCATTTACCTGTATAGTATGGAGCCAAGGGCTTGCCACCCTTCAAAACCAAAAGGGCAATTGAGCAGAGTTTTTTTTGTAGCCTGAAACCCTGCAAAATGCAGCTCGCGTAGGCTCGCGTAGGCTTTGCGGAAATCCCCTTTTCAAGTACCCAAAAAAACTCTGCTGAATTGCTGGCTAGCTACTACAGTGGCTTGCCTGGGATCACCTGGCTCTATTTGAGCGTGTCTGAAACAAAATTGGAGCCCCAAAACAGGGCTGGATTCAAGTTGTCCGGTTGAGCCAACTATGGCTCGTGCTTGTTTTGTGTCGTTGTGTTTTGTATATTGTTATGTGGCTGTGGGTCAAAACCAATGGTACCATTTTGGGATAGGTGCACCACCCATTTTAGTCTATTGTAGTGGGCATTGGGATGTTCACTGGGGGTACGATTTGGATTTGAACCCATCCCTTAAAAATGGGGTCATTATCCAAAACAAAGGGGTCATTTACCCTTTTTAAAGGGTCAGAAGGAGGCTCAAGGTACTTTTTTTTTTGGTGGGGGGTTCTAAGTCTGGGGCACGCCCCAAAATGGAAAACGGGTTTCTTGCGGTATTTGTGTTAAGTCCACTGCTTGATTCGACTCCCGCCTTGGTCAGGTGACGAGGCTGCAGGTGAACGAGTCATTGGAGGAGGCCATGCTTCAGGCAGGAAACGGCCGGTGAACGAGACGGATTTGGTCGCAGAGATATGTCGCCTTTACTTCCATTTGCTGAACTGAATATGTGTTTTCTTCCCCTTGTTGGCTTTAAAAGGAATTTATCACTACTGGAAATGATTTTTTTTTTCCCCATGGGTCTTTCCATGGTTGATGTTGATTCGGGGCGTTCCCTTTTAGTGGTTGGGCTCAGACCACTTTTGGAGGGCACACCCTGAAAAATTCGGACGGGTTTATTAATGGGTCAACGTTATGGCTCACTTCCCGAGGCCCAACTTGGACAGGGCTCCTTAAAAGAAATTCATTTGGCGTCACCATTTGAAACATGTTGTTTTTTCAACACCAACACAAAGGGAAACCACCACTTACACTTACAAGGCAATGTTGCGTTTTCAACACCAAAATAAAGGTGGAAACCACCATTTACAAGTTGCAATGTTTAGGTGTATAATGTAAGGATCCCTGTTGGACCGTTTTGGGGCTTGATCCTTTTTAGCGACAAACAAACGATGGGACTTCATTTAACCAATCCACCCCGGAAGTGAGTTTGGCTTCCTCATTCGCGAAGCCATTTGGGCAGTCTGTTCGTGTGTGTGTGTGTGTGTATTTGGAGCAAACTGTTTTGGATACTTCTTCGATTGGTCGTTCAATTGTTTTGCGGGTTAGTTGCCATGTTCATGCACAGACCTAAGCACGTCATGAACAGACATTGGTTTCACGTGCTGAGAACATTGCCATGCTGTGATCTTGACACATTGCTTGCATCCCATGAACCATGGCAACGATTGATTGTTATTCACTCAGGCACCCGATGGGGCGATGCCCTTCTGCCTGGTGTGCAGGGCTTTGGCTTTGAACCCTAAAAAATGCCCATGGAGTTCCACTGCAGTGGGGCAGGGATGGGGCACACAGCAGTGGAGTCCTCATTGCTCTGAGTGGAACCCATCCGATTTTAGCTTTGCAATTAGCTCCCCTTGTTGCTTTTTTGTTGCTTTTTTGGGGTCCCTTTTGCTTTCCACTAACCTGGCAATAGCTGTGTCTTTTTGTTGGGGTCATATTTCCAGCCAAGTTGATAGTTCCCTGCGAAGGCCTGTGAATTGCTCAGAAAGGAATTGCACACCCCCGGGATCAAAATGAAGCAAGGGTTGTACTTAGATCGGGGGTTCCCGTTTCCCCAACGTATTTGTTGCAATTGTTTGGTTCCAGAGGGTTTGACGTCCACGTGCCGGCATAGTTGATGGGTTGGTTAGGGCGTTGGAAGGCGAGCGTCCTTCGGATGGGTGAAAGTAGATAGCACAGTTCCCCCCCATTTCGGTTTGGTAAATCCCCTTCACATTATTGACCGCATACAGAGAAGTGCGCCATCTACTTTGCTGCTGGGTAAGCCCCCTGGTCACTTCCATGATTGTTGGAAGGAAGATGGAACAATCTCCTTCAAGGGTAAAACCCCTGTAATGAAGATCCTCCATACTTGGTGGCTCCCAGCCATCCCCCTAGCTTTTTAGCATTTTTCGTTTTTGTTTTGTTTCGTTTAGTGGTTGGGTGTGGTGAAACTTTTAGCAAGGGATCTGAAAACCGACAGCCCAGCATAGCTGAGGTGGGGCAGTTCCATTATTTCCAGGTTGAGAATGGTACCTGCTTAAAGGGCATTGCGATTAGTAAGTGGGGAATAACCAGGGTTCTAACCCACTTACCATGGTCATAAGTCTCCTAAATGGGTTATAACCAGGCTTCCTAACCACTTACTAATTGCCCGATCGCCCCTTCAAGTGGAGTCTCCATTTGCCTAGACCCGACAGGCAGCATTAGCTGGGCGCTTCGTCTTGCCGGACAATGCCTCGACGTCCGCCGGGTGGGTCTGCAAATGGGGGAACCTCAAAAAGTCGGCTTTCATGGAACTGTCCTTACCGCCAAAAAGAAAAGCAGGTACCCTCAAGAAACAGATGGAATTGTCCTTACCGCCCCAAAAAGCAATCAGGGTATCTCAGAACAAGATGCAAACACAGGTTGTTTTTTTCTGGATTGAGACGGACACCATAGAGAACACCCAGTTGTTTCTGGATTCTAGGGGGTGTCAAAGTCTCAAAGTTAAAGCTATGTCTTGTACTTTGGCTGTTTCCAGGTTGTTTCCCTGTATCTTGTGACTTAGGAGGGAACTTTAGTGGCAAACTCATGCGGCCACTTGAAGAAAGACTTGGCCATGGAGTCTTCGATTTGACACAACTTTCACAGGCAGGTTCAAGCAATCCTGTTTGATCCCTTGTTCTGGTGTCTCCTCTTAAAGTTTTTTTTACTAAATCTGAAGCAGAACCAGAACAAGTTGTTTGAAGCACCCCGATGTGGACCACAAGAGGTTCCGTAGATTCCTTTCCTTGGCACTTGAGGTTGGTGGGATTGGCAGCCTTTTATGGAAGCCTTTAACACAGTTGTTGTATGTACTTGACTGGTTTCCCTAGCAGGTTGATATATATATATATGTATATATATTTGGAGCTCTGGGCCAGAGGGTGGACGTTTTGGCTTACAGAGGTTGGCTGAGAATACTTGACGGAAGCCTCGAGACACTGAACACATTTTCATTGCGAGAACGTACTCTGCGGATCAAGTGAAGACGGCAGATGCTGAGGTGGTCGCAAAGCCAGCTAGCTCCGGCCAGCTCTGAGTTGCCAAAGTCCACCTTTGTTGTCGGGCAAGAGGTGATGCTTCTCGCGACTAAGCACAAAGATAAGTACAACAAGAAGAATTACATAATCAAGGCGGTCCTGACTGAAAAATTGAAGTTAACAATCCCGGCCAAGTACGAGGATAAGACCGTGCCAATGGAGAGCATGAAGCTTCTTGAGATGAAGGTTGAAGCCAGTTTCTGGATTCCGTGTGCCACTGGCCTGAGCTTCAGGTTCCTTCCACCTACTCTTTTACTCCCGTCTGAGTAGATATCCCTGATCCCGGCATTGGCTGAAGCTACCCACCGACGCTCTTAACTTCCAAGGCCTGTCTGTGCGGTTCTGTGTGGTTAACAAACCAAGAAGGGTTACACATTGTTTGGACACATGCAGCATTTGAAGGGGGGGACCAACCTGCAGTGGGCTCATCTGTGGATGGACGGAATTCTGCACCACCTAAGAAACCATGGAGGGATGATTCCTGGAAATACCAACCATGGTTTCAACCATGGTTTCATTTCATGGTGGTGAAATGGATTTTGTGTATCCACAGCCAATTGGACGGTGGCCCCATGTTCAAAGGTCGAACCTCCGAGGTACGGGCAATATTTGGAGGCACGCAACGCCTCGCTGCCGCGCCCCCATGTCACGGAGCCGGTTTTTAGGGTTCTCGATCCTATTCTCATGAAAAGAATAGCAACCAAGCGGATTGAGCTACTCCTGAACGGCAACACAATAGCGGTGAAATATGAAGCCAACCATGTGGCCGGCAACTGAATCCTCCGGCAACCCAAAAGCAACAACTTCAGCGGCTTGGTCACCAGCCCCTTTTGTCTGCCTTTTTTCAGGGTTCCTCCATTTCTCTGTTTGGAACCTCCAAACGTGGGCAGTTTCAATGGACACCACCGGTAGATTGCAACTCTGCACATTGCCATGGAACCCAGCAGGTTGGTCCCGTTAAGAGGGCCCCGAAGCGTCAGGTTCCATTAACGGTTTGAACGTTTAAGTGGATCCATTTACGTGGTAGAGGCAGGTAACCAAGGGAAAACCACCCTTTCAAAACCAAGAGGAGAATGGCCGGGGTTGCCTACCAAAGAATCAATTTGAATCGTCCTTTCGATTTTGGTGCAGTCACCCCCGGTTTGGGCTCTCGATTCGCATCTATAGTAAGTTAGTAACCCAGGTTATAGGTTAGAAGCTGCTTGTTCGTCCCCCAAGGAACCTCGTAGCAGGCTAAAACCCACATTGTGAACCACTACTTGATCAGAAACTTGGCCGAACTTCCAAGTATAGAGCTTCCCGTCAAGCTCTTAAAGAGCCTTGTTTGGATCCTGCCTGATAACACAGGGGAAAAAGCGTGCCCTGAGGGTGGATTTTTACATTTCACTCTCTCACAAGTACTCAATTCAATTCGAAAACCTTCCTTCGAGCATACTTGTGACTGGGCACACATTGAATGAACGTATATAAATAGAGACCGAGCACCCCTTCTGGATAAATAGGGCCCCAATCTTCAGGCACCACTCCACCGCGTTTGCCTGAAACTTGTCAGGATCTGTCCGTGTTTTGTTTTGCAGTGGGAAGTCAAAGGAAGCCCACATGGAGCAGGACATACGTTGCCCCCATCTCCCACCTGAGCCAATCGCAAGTACCACGGGACCCTTCGGAAGCCTACGCATGTTTTTTTTTGCGTTTATTCAGGGAACACTCAATTGCTGGTTTGGATGGGTGGTTTGGGGATTTGAACCCCTGGTTCTTGCAGAGGCCAAATGGGAAACCACCCCTTAACAACCAAGCCACCAATCCAAACCACCAATTAGAGGGAAGCTGATACTCCCTAATGACCTGGAATGTACACGTTTCGGGAAGATGATTTTAGTGTCAGGCAGAAAGTGCTGACTTTCGTTGGCCGCTCAGGAAGTGAGTTCACACACGTATTCATTTGGAGGGGTGTTCTGTGTTCTGCTTAGCGACAGGTCTGCTTGCTTCAGGTCGGAAAATGACACCAATGACACCTTCCAGTGGAGCTCATCATATGTGGGCCTCAGGGTTCAGCCCTGAGAGGGCTGAATGGAGGGAGCGAGGTTTGGGCAAAAGTCAGCTTACGGGTTTTCATGTTTGTTGAATCTGGGTTTCCTGAAAGTGGGCTTTTTGTGAGAACCCTCACATTTGCTTGGTTTATTTGGCACCGTTGTGTGTTGTCTTAGGATGTTTGGGCAAGCGTTGATTGAACAACGACGCCCAGTTTCTTTTAAAGGACATTAAGTAAGGTACTGTATTGTTTAACATCTTTCAGACATTTTCCATTTGCTTAAGATATATATATATATATATATGTTTTTCTCATTGTGTTTAAAAGGGACTCTATCACTACTAGAAATACATGCATGTTGTTCAAGGGTCTTGAGCAAATGGAAGACATGCTTGCGAGGATGCTTACGGCTCATTTTTTTTCTCCTGCCATCCTAGAGGGTCCCTTCTCAGGAGAAGCAGCTCCCTGACATGCCATGAGAGGGAATTAAGGATTTGTCTTGTTTTAGTGGACCCCAAAATACTGATTATCGATCTGGTTTTCCTTTAGAGCCACAAACAAAGGGTGGCCTCAAACAAAGACCCACCCACACCCCTCTTGCTACCGCCTTGGAGAACAATCCAACCATACTCATCCGAGGAATCCCCCCCCCCAAAAAAAAAAGTCGCTGAATCCGCAACTAGAGCAGAAGAAAGATGGAACGGAGTCAGGAAATCTTGTTTGTCCACCATGTGGGGCCTCAACAAATTGTAGCTTTGAGGCGTTTGAGGTACGGGGAACCGGTTCCGGGTTCTGGCACCCAAGCGCCAGGACCCTACTCGACAAAGGTGGGCCTGGTGATCAAATTGTGAAACCCTTGTCCTCAACACTTGAGCACTTGTGCTTGCTTTTAAATCTGCCTGGAGTCTCCTTCTGACCCTTAAAAAACGGTTGGTCATTACCCAAAATAGTGGGGTCATTAGCCCATTTTTGAAGGGTCATGGAGACTCCAGGTGGGAACTGTTTGACGTGTCTTTGTGTAGGGGCTGGGTGTCCAAGCCTCAAACACCTGAACTCGGCACCAAAACTAATTTTGAGAAACTCCAATGATGTTGGCCCCAGACGAATTAACCGGTTCTATTACCGTCCCACCAATCAACATGGAACCTGACAGAGAGGGGTACTACAAGGCTAGTTCCCTTGTCAGGTTCCACGATTAAACTTTGCCACCCAGCATTTCACCCGGGTGGTTTTGGAACCCCGCCTCGGATTTTGGAAACTGACCAAAGTCCCGTTGACTGCGCCTTGCAACCCGCGGTTTTGACCAGTGACCTTGGTGCAATCAAGTCGTAGCGCACGGGTGTGGGCTGCAGACCTAAGCAAACCACCAATTCGAGGGACGATACTTGCCACTCCAACACCAAACACTCCGTGTGTGTGTGTGCAATATTGACTCATTGTTACCCTTCAAATGGGTCCATTGCTTACATATACGGCATGCATTGTGTGGTTGGACCATTCACGTTAGCTTTCGGTGGCTATTTTAGTATCTCGTTCTACTACCGTGTTTAGTAAGGATAGGAATGGAACCCAAAGATGGGCTTTCGCCTTTCCCTGGGAAGTGAGTTTGCGCTGAGCGCCGCTCACCCAAGGCCTTGGACTTGAACGTGACGCCAGACTTCAACACCACGGCCCTTACCTCCAACTGGCACATCACCTGGAGGCAGTCGGACAGACGGACCCCTTTCTGGGTATGGCTGGTTTTTTCTTGAGTTGGTATTGGAGTAGTAAGAGGGTCTAATTCCGATAAGGAAATAATCAAAATAGCAATGATATGGTTTTGCAGGACACGGGATGAAGGGAAAATGAAGTATTTGAGTTGGCAGTATTGTTTTTGCATGGGTTGAAGGCAAACCAACAGGAACACCGAAGCCATTTTGGGGATCCGTCCACAGTATGGGAGTTTCTCAAAATGGATTTCGGATGCCTTTGTTGGATTTAAAGGGTGAAAGAACGGGAATCCATCCAAAAATCATGACTGCACATGACGAAAGCGGGAACAGACCATCGAGAATCGAATGTGGTGCCCCCATTTGAGTTTCCTCCTCAATCTGCACAAAACAAAAGCAAACACAAGAACATATGGCGTACGGCCATCCCCGCTCGTGTTTTTTTTTTTTTTTTTCGTCGCTCGACCGATCGAAGTTGACTCGCCAGGTACGCGCTGCAGCAAGGCCCAGAGACCGCCAGCGTTTGCCCCACGGGGATCTCGAATTCCAGCTGCTCCTTTCTGAGGGCGCGGACACCTGGAGCCGGAGCGAGGAAGAATTTGGCGTCGAGGGCCGGTGGTTCTTTTGTTGGGGGGGAAGACCCGCTGGAAATTTGTGTAAGCCCAAAAAAGGATGCCCTCAACAAAATATGACCCCCCAGAATATGTATAGAATATATAATGTATGTAGCAAAGTGGGGTCCGAAGTCCGTATTGAGAAACACTCAAATGCACCAGTTCGAGGGTGCTATTGGGGAGCCACGCGAGAAGCAGGTGCCGAAAGTCTCTGCTTCATGGCGAGAACCGCGATCTGGCGGTCCGAGCTCACCATGAAGAAGCCTGTGCCTGAAGATCTCTTATTGAAGGTTTTGGAGCTATGGCACAACTTGCTGATCAATATTGCGGCATTTAAAACATGATTCATAATACATGTGGCTTTTGTTTGTGTAGCCTTCCAAGCAGCTCTTTGATCTCCAAACCTCACAGCATCAGAACGGTGTCAACAACGGCACGGAACAACTAAGCTTGTTGTAGCAGCGTAAGCACACAACTCGTCAGCAAACGAAGACGCCACCAACATAAGGGCCTTCTTGCCCAGTCTTTCATTTCAGACTATGTGCTGCAAAGTCGTAGCAAGTCTCCCTTTGTTTCCATTTGCTTGCGCATAAAACTCGATTTCTTCCCCCTGTTGGTTTTACAGGATTTCGATCGCTACGGGATGTTTTCACAGTTTTCCTGGAAGCTTGAGCAAAGGTAAGTTTCTGCTCAGAAGCACCAGGTTCTTGACAGCTCTGTTACAGCTTGCGCGTTGCATTCCAGGGTCCCTGCATCTGGGCCGGAGATTGGATCTTGCCCGCTGAAGACCACCCAGTTGCGGACCACACCTGCACCATTGATTGGAGTTCATGGGTGAAACCACAACGTTGGTTGATATGAACGTTGGGGAATCCACTCATTCCAGGGTCCCAGTCCAGGGTTCCAACTCATCCATCAATAAAAGGGGCTCCACATCCGGAGATCCTTCCGTTTCAAGGCTTACCAGGGTCCGGGTGGAAGTAATTCATGTCATGGAAAGGACTTTGACTTTGACCCCCCAAAAAAACACATTAATGGAGGGTCCAAGAAGGACCCTTACGTTTCCTTTGAGGGTGTGAATTTTTGAGGGTACCCTTTTCAGGTGGTTTCTCAGAGAAGCCAAAGGGGAATGCGGAAGCCATTTTGAGGGTTCCGGTTCCTATTTCGGTGTGTCTTTTGCTGAGGCGATCGTTTGTTTGTGGTTTTTTAGAGAGGAACACCATCAGGAAAACGACAATTTTGCGGGGTTCCCCCAAAATAAGAAACACACCTGCCCAAAAAACAACACCTCCCCGTTTTGTGACAGACCCATTTCGAGGCCTACCTCTTCATCAACGGAAATTTCATCGAGGAGATCTTCTTTTGGGCCTCGGCAGCCTCTTCGGCAACCTACGATCGCTGCTTGGCTGAGCAAATTTGTGCTGGGACACCCACTTGGCTTTGGTTGGTCGGTCCCTGAGGGAATCACAATCCCTTGTGGTGTCCTGAAACAATCCCGAACGGTTCACTCCCAAACCCCCAGATTGACTTGTACATTGGGCGTGTGTTGCCAAGCTTTTAAGTTGTTAACCCAAGTCATTCCCCGCGTATACTTCCCCCGTTCCGTGGAGTTCACCTTGTGAAACCCAGGTGGCTAACTTGGTCACCAACACTTTTTCGGAGAGGGTACCAACCAACAAAAAAGAGTGCCCATGTTTTTCCTAGCTGGTGGGCTTCTGGGAAAACAACCGACTCCACCCAGAGAAAAGAAACAAGGTCGGCTGCACGAAGGGTCCCTTACTGTACTTGGAGGTTCCTATGTGTTGTTGCTCAAATTGAGTACACTTCTGTCCACCAACATGGAAACTGACTGAGGCGTGCTGGAAAACAATTTTCTTTTAAAATGAACCCTCCGGGCTCCATGGAAGGGTAATTCATTTGCCCAGATTAATGGGAATGGCTTTCCCTTTTTGGGGGACGCTGGAAGGCGAGCTCTCGGGGATGCGATTGAGATACGGATTTGTTTCAAAATATCATAGAAGTTGTCCTAGCACCCCCCCCCCCCCCGCCCCCGAAACCCCCCTTCCGGGCAAACACACCTCCGACGATTTCTTGTTTTATTCTTTCCGAGGGTTGTTTTTTTTAGGAGGGGTGGCCCGGGGGGGACCCCAAAGAATTTGTTGGTTTCCTTTCTATGTCCCAGATTACTGAGAACCTATGGCTGGTCTCAAGTGACAAAATTGCTCCGTTTGGGACCTGGTCAAAACACATTAAATTGCTATTTCGTTGGACCTAAGGTGATCGACCTTTTGCTTGGGGGGAAGGGAAACAGTAACGCTAAGGGCATAACTTTTTGCAGGGTCAAAGACGTACCCAGACGTACCCATTCCCGCTTGTTGGTAAGCGCCTCTCAGTGGCCATTGCCCAGCTTGTCGATCGCAGGCTGGATCGACAGCGAAGCGATCATCGGCAGTGGCAGCCTAAGAGCACCTCAAACAGACCAGTGGTCATAGTTCCTCCATTTCCCTTGGAGCTTCCAAACGTGACAATTTCAATTGAGACTACAATTCAGCAACTTGCAACTTTCGAAGGGGCTTTCGAGAGGCGACTTTGGTTGCGGTTTTAAAGGAAAACCAAAAGTTTTCACCACCAATTTGGTTTCCCCGAAAAAAAATAACAACATCTGGATAACTTCAGGTAAAAGCCAGGAGCTGGCTTCTACGCAACAAGGCTGCCACTTCTTGCCCGCAGCCTTTGCGCAAGAAGTTGGTGCACTGGTTTGCGCATTCTTTGGGTCTATTTACTAAACGTTGGCGCATTTTGCTAAGGGATGTTAGGACTTTAACATTTTGCCAACTCATGGGTTTTCCGTATTAAATCACTCAAAGTTAAACTTTTAGCAGGGGAGCAGAAAGCAACCGAGTAAACTGGGGTCTTCCATGTCCCATTGTGTTGCTTGAGACTTTGGCACCTGTTTGTGTTCAATCAACACCAAACTCAATACCTCGCCATGAGACAAACCCCAAAGGTTTTCAATAAGAAGGATCCTTTGCACAAAGGGAGCTCCAAAGCTGTGCTGACTTGTGCTTCGGTTCTGGACTGCAACTGCTTGAGATGAATCCTAGCGGTCAACGGTTCAGTGTTCAGGCTTCTTTTGCCCCATCTCACGAAGTGACTAGAGTGTAGTCTGTTTTTGGAATCGGAACCCCAAAATGGCGGTTTCCCTTTTGGTTTGCCTCTAAACCAACCCCGCAAAGAGTACCTTTAAAAAGGACACACCCATTTAATGCACAATCCAACATCCCCACCCCTTCAAAGATGGAATGGGAGCCAGGGTGACCATTGAGATTTGTGGGGACGTGACAAATGGAATTGGGGGAGCCTCAAGGAATGCAAGTTCAATCTAATTGCAGGCAGACAGATTATTTTTTTTTGTGGGGGGAGTGTCCAACCAGTACCCGTACGACCCTATGAATATGTTTGAGGCCCTTGTACAAGGGGGCATCCATCCAGGAAAGCCAAAAGTAAAACCACCAATTTGGGCTTCCCCGAAAAAGCAACAGCATTTGGCTAGCTTCAGGTAAAAGCCATAATTGGTGAGGGGTATCCAAACCAGCCAGACGAATAGCGGTCGCGTTTTCTTCCTCGAGGTAGCGACACCTGCACGGGCTGCGGCAAGCTCAGCGTCGCCGTTGGGGAGCTGCTTCGTGGTCGAAGGGTCGGAGGGTCGGAGGGGGTCGCGCAGGAAGTCTCCTAACTGTAGATCCTCCTCTTCCATTTCTTTAATAATATGTTGTATTTTCCCCTGTTGGTTTTAGAAGGACTTGATTACTGGAGTTTTTAAGAGTAGAGCCTCCTAAGGACCGTTTTACAGACCGGGGTGTTGAGTCTGACTCACCTAGGAAGCTTATGGAGTGGTCCTAAACCTCCAAGCCCTTCCATTTGCTGAAATGAATATGTTTTTTTAGTTTTTTTTGTTTTTCCCCCTGTTGGTTTTAGAATCGGAATCCATTGCACTACTGGACATGTTGTGTTTTATTTATTATTTTCCAGGGGACTTTAGCAAATGGAAGTCATAAACCCTGGTTAATGTGAATTCGGGGGTGCTTTTCCCCGGTTTTGGTCGGGATTGGAGGGGTATATGAATAAACCGGGGTATATTCATCCGGGGCCAGCATCTAATAACAAGTCAAGTCCACGGAAGGGGGGGAATTAGAAGCGGGTTGTAATTAGCTGAGCTTACCAACTTACCAACAACTCACTAACTTGGCCGAACAGTTATGTATTGTTGTTTTGGGGATCCCCTCTTACAAGGGCCACTAACAACTATGGGACTATTTGGTTGGTTCGAATATTCACCTGCCCAAGGCGAATCGACCTTTTAGCCTCTTGGTTCCCTGGTTTGGTCCATATTTGGTTGACCCGACTGGTTGACGCTAAAGAAATCCCAAAAGGAGAACCATCAATTTGGGGGGGTATGATTCGTACAAAAGTCACCCCTATGGGTTTTGATAGGGGCTTCTACAGGTCCTATGAGATTTCTAGTAAGGTCAATGGGTGGTTGGGCACCAAAAGGACGCTCACCCCGTGAGTTGGCAAATTGTCAACTTTGTGGTGGTTGGATTCGGCGTTGAGTCAAGGCCCAACCTCTCATTGATCTTCTCTGGCCGGTGAGGATACTGAAAGGGACAGGGTACTTGGTAAGAGGTTAGTAAGCCTGGTTATAACCCTCCGAACCCTGACTTATCACCGTGTTTTTTTTGTAGGTTACAACTATCCCCGCAACTCCTAGTAACCTGTATAGCTAGTAACTGGCCGTTGGCGACTGTTTTTTGAGAACGAGGGCCTCTTTTTCACGGTTCCGGGCCTTTTTTTCACGGTTCCGGGCCCCAATTTCACGGTTCCGGGCCCTTTTTTTGTGGTTCCTGGATCCAGCGGTCAGTTACCAATATGGCAGGTAACCAAGCTGGTTCCGCACAAAAAGGTAACTGGAAGCACTGGGTATGCTTTGTTCCCACTGACTAAGTACCCGATCGACCCTTTTAGTATGTCCCAGTTGCCCAGTGGCGCCCTTTTTCCTTTCTTGGGGAGGGGTTCCCCTTTTTTTGGTCAACTAATACAAAATTCGGATGCCGATTCTTTTTCCCCTGGAAATCCACTGGGCAGCTGAGATGTGCACCCTTTCAGTACCTGGAGTCTCCATGGCCCTCGAAATATGGGTCAATGACCCCATTATGTTGGGTAATGACCAACATTTTTAAAGGGTCATGGAGACTCTATGTATGTGTTTCCCGACTTCCAGGCAAGAACATGTCTACGGCTGTGACGCTGAACAATCTGGCCGACAACCAGGTGAGTCGATTCATCGCGTCGAGTCGAGTAACTGTCGGCCCATCCCCAGCTCGTTTTTTGAGGCCATCCCTTTTTAAGGATGGTTTTATTTGTGTAAAGGGAAACCACAAGGAAACCCATCCTTTTTGGGGGTTCCCCGACAAAGAAGATCTGCCCGTGTGTTGATTGAGTTGATGTGCCACCCTAGGAGTACAGAAACATGAAGAGCGTGCCATCCACCATCTCCCACATTTCTTGCAGGTACGCGCTTTCAGTTTGGATTAGAGGGAAACCAAAGGAAAGACCGACGCCGTTTTGGAGCGTCACCTTTGATCCCCAAATGCGGGAAAGGCAGTAGGACTGGATATGTTCTGCTTGTTCCCGAATCCGAAGCGTCGAACCGGCTTTGTGACGGTGACGCTCTCTTTGCCGTTTGGATGAGTTTTCTTCAACGTCAACCAAAACTCGACCAACCCAGTTTCTTGCTGGCGAAACCGCCACAAACCATAAATGAGCAAGACTGTTCGTCTCTTTATTGGAAACTGCGGGCGGCAAATGATATTGCTAGTTGATCAATGTTGTTTTTCCAACGGAGGGCAAGGCCCGTCCTTTGTGCATGGGGAACCACCTTCTGCAAGAGAGCAAGCGATCCACACCCCGAAGGTTGCCTTGCTGTTCGAGCAATCGGATACCTCCACTGCCGGAGGCCAAGCAAGCTGAGCACTGCGCGCTATGGTCAACTTTAGAGGTCGTAGCAGATGAGTGTCCCTTCGCAGAGTCTTCATTCATGTTCCCTTATGTGGTTTGTATATCTTCGCAGTTGTCGGTGCCTATGTTTATGATATTAACTAATACATAATTAGAGTGGGCTTGTGGGGTACTTCAACGAATTTGACTCATTGTGGGAAGAGTATACTACTGGAAATTCTCATGCCCCCTGCCCCCTGAATTTCTGATTTTCCAAGTCTCCCTACGGTCGGCTGAGGCCTTGCCCAAAAACGGGAACCCATCCGCAAGGACCCCTGGTCCGGCTATTTGGTAAGGGCTCTTTTGGGGCCAATTGACAGACATGCATGGTCTTGGTCGGGAGCTCGGTTTGACACGCACCTGCAACCAAAGCGAATCCACATGAAATTGCCCTTTGGTGTCCGCTTTCTGGCCCATTTTCAGTCACGGCCCCAGAAGGTTTAAATCGGCAAACGCTAAGGTAGCCACTGAGAAAGACAAAGGGTGTGTCTCAACCTAAGGGTCCCAAAAATGACCCGATTCCTGTTGGTTTCCCTTTAAATCCATCCAAAAGGGCACTGTCAGAAAACGACACACCCAAACAAACATGGAATCCCGTCCGGGACGGGGGGGGGGTATGTACGTCACGGGGGGTGGGTAGTTGAGATCCTGTTGCCGGTTCCTTAGGCTTCAGGGTTGCTTAGAGAGCCTTACAAAACTTGGTGGCTCCCAGCCATCCGGCTCCTTAGCCTTTTAGCTTTTTAGTGTTTCGTGAAACTGTTTCCATTTCACCCACTAAAAGTGAGCCACTTTTAGCGGATCGGAAATCGGGCAGCCCAGAAAACCCTGGCTGGCTTCTGGCTGGCTTCTGGCTGGCCTTTTGGCTGGCTGGTTGGCTGGTTGGCTGGCTTCTGGCTGGCTTTTCGGCTGGCTTCCGGCTGGCTTTGGCTGGGTTTGGCTGGGTTTTGGGCTGGCTTTTGGCTGGGTTTTGCTGGCTTTTGGGCTGGCCTTTGGCTGGCTCTTGGCTGGGTTTGGCTGGCTTGGACCTTTTATTTCCCTGTTTTTAGCCGCCCTTGGACCCATTCTGACGTATTTCCCCAAAAAAAAACCGCTCCCTCGAGACGGGCCGCCGCTTGTCTTGCGGCTCAGTCGGAACCTGAGGCGCAGAGGATCTTGGCGCTGCAGCAGCTGCGGTTCCTGCCCACCTGCCAAGTTGCCACGCAGGAGACGTTCCGCTTTCCCACTTGGCTGAAACGACAAATTGTTGTGTCCGAAGTGCTCCCAATTTTGGGGGGGGTTTAAAGGGAATCAATTTCACTGGACATCTCTTTTCTCTTGTGTTCCGTCCCTGGCGTAGCTTCGCAACGCCGGACGGAAAGAAGCGAGACCCAGTTCCTGGCTCAGGCGCCAGGACTCAGATCTGGCCCGATTAAATGGGTGTGGCTCAAAATTAAGCAGGAGGGGCAAGCCGCAGGTTTTGGTCCATGTTTCCACTTACCAGGGCAACCCATTTTGTTATTCCGGTTTTTTGAGCCACAGCCAAATGGGGGGCTGGTCTCCCACTTATTCGGACCAAAGAAGGGCTGGTCTCCCGCTTCACCAACAAAAAGGTGCCGAGTTGGTAGACGACCGTATGGTTTTGTTCATGGGGTGGGGGTGGGGGGGGGGGGGTGGAAATGGTAGCGTTCATGTCGACCGGATCCAACAAAAAGGGGGGTACTAGCTAGGAGGTTCGATTTGCCTAGGTAGACTTTGTGGCTAGCCAGCTGTGCGAGACACAGATCACAAGGTCAACTCCACTGAACGGGGGACTCCTTTACTCAGGTAAGACCGAGGGAGACAACTTACTATCCTGGCCGACCAAAGTAGGTCCGGGAAAACCATTATGTAGCAGGAGGTGACAAAAAGAAGCCTGGTTGCCCAACGATACTCAAAGGGGCGATCGGGTACTTAGTAAGTGGACAACAACCGTGGTTATAACCCACAAAAGCCATGGTTGAAAGTCTCCGAAGTGGGTTACAACCATGGTTGTTACCAGTTTAAGTAGGGGGACTTTCAAAAGGATCCCCATACAATTTCAACGGAAAAGGTGCATGAGGCTCTGAGGCCCACAATGTTCCCTGTGAGGCTGAATGGGAATTCTTGACTCAAATGGATGTGTCTCCAAGGGTAACCCCACAATCAGTGTGTATGTTTAGGCTTCCATTCAAAACCAGCCAAGGGCTCCGCCATTTTGAGAACCCATATTCATGTGCGTCTTGAGTTCCAATGAAAACTTCCAGGGTGTGTCTTTTTTCGAGGGTGCATTTTTGTTGGTTTTAAAGGAAAGCCAACGGGAAAACCACTATTTTGTTTTCAGGAGGGTCCACGAAAAAAGCACTCATGGAAACAAACCAGCTGATTTCGGGGAACTCCTACAGATTAGACAGGGTCGATCCAAGCACCTCAAAATGAGCAAATCGCATATATGGTCGGTCAAGATCTCGAAAACCCGGGGATTTCTCGTGTCCTCTTGGGGACACAAGCAACTTTGACCGAAACTGGGATCGGGTTTTCCTGATTTCCGCGTGACAGCTAGACCAACGAGTCCTTCCAGGCCGTTGCGGGAAACTTCACTTTGGTTTTGATCATGTACAAGTGCCGTCGATTGGTCCCAAAAAGAGGACATGGGTATGGGTCAAGAAATATATCACCCGGGTAGCGCAGGCTTTAGTCGTTGGTTCCATTTACCAGGGTTTCATTTTGGGCACCTTTTTTGACCCAGACCCACATCTAGGAGCTACCTGGAACCTCCGTGACCCTCGCATGAACCAGCATGAACCCAGATCAAGGAGACTCCAGGTGTCGTCCTTTTGGTTCCCCTTTAAAGCCAACAAAGGAGAACCCCAAAATAACATACACTGATACGAATCGTCAAAATGTCTTGTCTCCCCTTAAAGGACATGGGAAAGACTACTCTTGCTTTTTCTCGTCAGTTCGTACATTCAGCTTCACCTGGGGCGCACCGCCACGATCGCGTGCTCCCTCTTCAGGATACATCCACGTACCGCTACTGCAAGCCCATGGATGCCATGCCCACCTGGGATAGGCCGGGCCTCAGGGCGGAGCATTGAGTAATCTTAACTCCCCCTCCATCCTGTGGCATGGTCCATGGGGTATACCTGAACCCCCAAAATTCAACCAAAAAGCAAACTTAAAACCGGGTCGCAAAAAAAATGGCGAGTGAAACCCCTTTTTGATGGGTACCTGGAGTCTCTTTCAAACCCTTGAAAAATGGTTGGTCATTACCCAAAATGTTGGAGTCATTGACCCATCGTTCAAGGGTCATGGAGACTCCAGGCAGATTCATCCACCCCATATTAAGCCACCTGGAAAAACATAATACGAGTAGTGAAATCGATCGCCTTTAAAACCAACAGGGGAAGATCACATATTCTCAATGTTGACCATTATTAATAGGCGGGTGCTCTTCCCTGGGTGAAATGATCGGAAATCAGCCCCAATTTAATAAACAGGGGTTGATTAATACGGGGTCAACATTATTCAGCAATGTTTCACAGTCCCAATGTGTTCCTTCAAACACCTCATCAAATAGAAACTCATTCAATGCATCACCCGCTCATCGTTTCAAAGGGATGTCCCAAATCTTTGAGGCAATCATTCACTTTTGGGAGAGGCACGCATCACTATAAAAATCTGCCAGGCTTCGCGAACATTGTTGGATTCATCACGGACTTCCTGTCTGGAAGCAAAGGGCCTGTTCAAATCCAATTCCAATCCAAACGCTGCATCAGATGAAGGCCATTGGAGAGCTGCCAGAAATTCATGGTGCCTCAGTTCCGCAGGGGAACCGTTCCACTGGTTTAGATTGGTTTCATTCTGTTTACTATCATGGATTTGTCCAAAAACGGTCGAGCCTATGCTCCCACCCCAAAACCCCAACCACGCAACCAAGCAACCAAGCAACCAAGCAATCAACTTGCCAAGCTCCCAAACCCTCTTGACACCCACCCCCCCAACCCCCACAACCCCAACCACGCAACCAAGCAACCAAAAGGCCGCCAGCTTACTGCTATTGGGTTGGATCTTTAAACTTTAACTTTTTGGGAAATCAAGGTGTTTTCCACTAAATCCCCAAAGAATGGTCCACTTTTTGCAGGGGGGTCGTTACCGCAACCGAGTTACGCTCGTTCAGGTCCAAGATCCAGCAGACCTCCTTGTACCACTGGCAGCGTGAGAAGCTGGAGGCGTGGTCAGTCTCATGAAACATTTTCCTCCGCCTGGGTTGAAGTTTTCGCTTGTAAGGCCCCCCAGCCCAATCGGAGCGAACCGTGTTCACGTGGCTAGCCACAAAATCTAACTTGACTAGGTCCCCCAGTAGGGCCCTTATTCGATTTCCGCCGGGCCCCAAAAAATATTCCCCAGAATGAATTGTGTTTTTTTTGTTTTTTTTAATGGTCCCCTTTGTTTTTCCACTAGGTCCCCCAGCTAGGGCCCTTTTACCGCTTTTTTTCTTGGGGGAGGGTTCCCCTACTAAAATAGACTACAGCAAAAAAAAGGTTGGTAATTCACAATACTCCCCAGAATGAGCTCCCCTTTTTGAATTCTTGCTTTTTTGGGGTCCCCTTTGTTGTCCACTATCCAGGCAAACAAACATGTAGTTTTTGCTGGGGTCCTAGTTCCAGCCAAGAAATAACCCAGTGGATCCATCCATACCAGAACATAGCAAAGGGGTACCCGCTATGTGGGCGAAACGCCTAGGATCCACTGGGTCATCTTATATATGTGTCTAGTTGCCAGGTTTCTTCTTGATTTGGCTGGGGCGATTATTTTCCTGGTTTCTGGGGGTTATCAAAGTCAGACAATGGCCTTTAACCCTTAGGGGGTGACTTTGATGGTAAAATAACCAGGTCCCCCAGTAGTGCCCTTTTCCCGTTTCTTTTTTTGGGGAGGGTTCCGTGCCTACTAACATAGACATCCAGAAAAAATATTGGGCGCCCTTATTCTAACCTCTCAAATCTGGAGGACCTAGTTGGTCAATTGTGATACTTGTTGCCCTTTAACCCACCACTAGGGGGTGACTTTGGTAAAAATAATGGCCAGTTTGGGCCCCAGAAGTTTCGGACGCTCCGCTTCTCCGATCCGAGGTGATCGCTTTCGCGAACCCTTTGCGGATGAAGCACGACCGGGGGACCGTCCTGGAGGCATGCCTCGGTCCACCAAAACAGGTGGCATGTGAACACGGGTTCTTGGAGGGGTGCTTTTTCCCTATTATTCCAACAAAAGAAGCTGTCGTAAACTTGAGGATGGCTTACCAAATGGACCCAGGGCCCCAGTTTTTGGACTACAATTGTTTTGCTATGAAACTAAATGTGGCAAACCACAGGTCTGGGCTTGTTCTGATCCACTCGGGAAGTCTTCGTTTCGCGGTGCTGATGGTTAGTGGTCCACAAGCCAAACTGAAGTCTCCTCGAAGAATATCTTGTATTTTACGGCTGACTACAAGTGAGTAAACCACCACTATCTATCAGCTTCCAGTCTTACAAAACACAACAGAGACTCTCCTGAAGGTGTTGGCTATCGAAAATGTCGCTACCATGTGGGAGTTGCTCAAAATGCCGTTCAAAACCCACCCCAAACAAAGGTGTGACGTTGACCCCGGATTTACAAACCGATCCCATGAATAGGGGGGGTGTTCCCCTCCAAGGCGACGAATCCCAATCTCAGGGGCACCAGCCCCTCTACTAATAACTTCCATTTGCTGAAATGAATATTTGTTATTTCCCCTTGTTGGTTTTAAGAGGAACTTATCACTACTGGAAATATTGTGATTTTTCCAGGTGTCTTAACCAAATGGAAGATAACAAACTGGGGTTGATCCATCCGGGCTTCCCATTGCCATAAAGAAATGACCAGATGACCAGGTGGAAGGTGAAACAAATGCTTGACTGAAATGCGCGGCACGCGGGTGGAGTGCGTTCTGAAAAGAACTTTCCCACAGCGAGTCGACCTTTCGACCTTGGGTTTCCCGGTAAGTGAGTCAATGAGGAACAAAACGCAGCATGAGAGCGGCAAGGCGCGATTTCTTGCATTGCCGGCCCGACTTGGTGCAAGGTCAGAGGGTGCCTTGCTATCCTTTGGCAATCTAAGCGGATCTGTGATACTCCCCTGCAGATGAGCATGCAACTCAATAAGCAAGCCTTAGAAGAATCTCGATGTGCAAATGGCCACCTCCTTCTTGGGTTCCATTTGCAGGGCAGTAAACGCGGTCAAGGTGCCGTACTTGGGTGCTCGATTCGCCAAGTGAGTTGTTGGTCACCTGAGTTGAAGTCTTCGCTTCTAAGGCCCCCCCACCCCAAGCGTTTGGGGGAGGGTTCCCCTACTAAAATACATTACAGAGCAAAGGGTACCCTTATCCGAACCTCTCCTCTCTACTGGAGGACCTAGTTGATGAATCGAACATCCAAACAGAAGGTCCGAGGGAGCCTTAGGGGTCCCATTCGACCAGCTGACTCACGCACTTACGCGGGACGCGGTCCCGTGTTTTTGGGGAGGCCAGGGTGCTTGGTCGGACTTGGGAGGATGATGTCGGGGTTAGTATGGGTGTGTACTCTTTTCTTTTTTCTTTTTTCCGGGGGCCTCGTCCCCAAACAAATGGTGGCGTTCCTGGGTACCCTCAACAAAACGACAGACCCACACAACTGCAGGTTGTCCACAATCCAAGGAGACCAGTCCTTTGCACAAAAGGCGATGAATCCCAAGCAAGCGACTTTGGGCGCAACCGAAGTCAGAGAAAAATAAAGGGGGTGAAGGGGTCAACGGGGCGAGGCTTCAGGGCAGACGAAGGCAGAAAGCAGCGCAAAAATCCATGAAACTGCAGAAAACAGCTGTTGATTTTAGACGGCACGGAAGGGCAAGATGGCCTTCGGAAGGGCAAGATGGCCCAGAAAGGCCTAGCCGGCACGGGGTTGGCGCTGTAGCTCATGTCACATGCTGGAAGTTGAAAGAATCGAAACCCCGCCTGCAACAGAGAAAAGCAACAGCTCAAAGGCGGTTTTCACAAGAGTCCGCCCACCCCTGATGCATGAACCCCTGGTTGATTAATAGGGGGGATGTCACGTGTTGAGTGCCGATTCATCACTTTTGGAGACGAACACCCCCCCTTGTTTTGCAATTTACTCCACGCCGAATTGTTTCCCCGTGGATGTGTCTAGGGGTATATCTGTTTGGGATGTTTGGGCAACAAAATGCAGCCCGCGCACTCTTGAAGCTTGCTGGAGCGAGAGATGGGAATGAGAAATGGAATGACCCCGAAATAAACCATCCAACTGGTGGTTTCCTGGGGGACCAATTCCTTTCAACCACATTCCCTACCTATCGCGCCAGCAAGACTACTTGGATGTTCGATTAATTTAGTAAGTGGGTTGAACCTAATCCTGAATTCCTTCCAACTCATTCCCTACCTAGCGCACCAGCAAGCAAGCTTGAGACCCGCAAAAACCCGCCGGCGCGCGCCGCGAGACGGTGGTGATCACGGTGAACGGCACCACTTTGAACCCCATCGACCTCTCGGATACCTCCTTCTTCGCCACTCGAGCTCCCAGTCCTTTTCGCCACCCCTCGTTTTGGTTTTTCCCTGGTGGATTAGGCATGCATGACAGAGAATGCCTGGAGTCTCCTGCTGGCCCTCAAATGGGGTGGCACTTTTAGTCTGGTGCAATGTGACCCCCGGAATATTTGATTTGCAGAAGACTCCAGGAATGAACATCTGGCGGTGGGTCAAAACCAATGGTACCATTTTGGGGTAGGTGCACCCATTTTAGTCTATTTTAGTGGGGATTGGGATGTTCACTCAGGGTACGGGGGCATAACACCTCTGAATGAGTATTGCCACTTCATAGTACAGGCCCCAAAGGGTCAGCCTTTTATATTTAGATCCTGTGGCAAGTGAATCCATTGGAGCGAAGTTTCGACGTCTCAGCAAAGGCGTCTTTTGGCCTGAATGCTTTGGGGTCGCCGGATCGGCTGTGGAGCTTGGCGTTCCGGGTTTCCAGGGGCGGTTGGGGATGCCTGGGCTCATTGGCGATTGCCACTGACCTCCTTGAAGAGCTTGGCTATTCAGAAACGGTACTCTGCCACCAACCAAACCTTTTGTCGTTCTCCCTTTGTCCATCTTGACTCAAATAAACCCTAAGGTTCAACCCCCATTAAAAGAGAAAGGTTGAAGGTTGAGCCAATTTGGATGAAGACAATTTTTGGGAAAACAATTTATGGTGGTTGTATTCCCCCCCTTTTTTTATATTGGTGGGGTGAACCCCAGGGTAAATGGTGGTGCCTTTTTTCAAGAGACTTTCTCCGGTCCCAGTTGGGTTTAAATTTGGAAGGGTCTCATAGATTCCGGAGCCCTTGGTCTGCCTTTTTAGGGAAGCCAAAAAGGACTCCAACCAAAGGTGGCCGATTTTTTTTAATGAGAAACAACCAACCGGGCTTGGCGCACGCCAAAATCGCCATGAGGAACCCACGCGTTAAACGCGCTACCAACGTAAGACTACCTCCCAGCTCCAGTTATATGTCGCTTGCCTTTTAACGTCGGAGCAGAAAAGGGCGCCAGGGTTTCCGAGCCATTTTCCTCTTTAGAACCTCAAACAGTGGCGATCGTTTCAATGGAAGCAGCAGTAAAAAATGTTGATTTTTTGTTTTGGTGAAAGTGTTCAACTTGTTTTCTCCACATGGAAAGTGTCTGGGGGGGCTTCTTTTTGTTGACAAAGGTGCAGAACTCTGAATGGAGGTTTCTTCAGGTGCAATGGGCAGTAACTATCTGGAGTTTCCATGACCCTTGAAGAATGGGGTCATTACCCAAATAATGGGATCATTGACCCATTTTTCAAGGGTCAGAAGCAAACTCCAGGTATCCTCCCAAACATTTATCCCATATTTTCTGACGCCCTGCTAGAAAAGGTCTCTGCTTCCAGGCATGGTAGGTGTCCAGGCATGGCTATCTCCAGGCAGTAGCTATGCCTTTCGTCTGTGTGGAACGTGGGAATCACATGGTTGGCCCTCCAACGCAGCCTCCAGAGGCGATTCGGGCCATGTCCCTGGGACAACCAGCCGAAGACCAACATGGCTTCTGCAGGGTTATGGGCCCAAGCCTTCGCAAGTGTTCACCATGTTGAGACAACCCTCCAAGACCATTCTTCCTTTTACTACCCAACAAAAAAGTGTTCTTGTTGCCCATGGAAATTTAAGGGAGCCATTTCCTGCCGTCCCTTTTCGAAAAGTTCAGGATTTGGACGCCTTCGGGATCCTCAACGGCTCGAACGACACCACCGACGAGACCAACGATACCAACGACACAGCGAACAGTGCCTTCCGGGCCGAAATTCGGGAGGATGCCCTTTGGAACTCAGTTGCCGCTAGATCGAAGGGATGGTTCATGTAACCTCCTTTTCTTTCATCTAAAGTGGGTCCCCTTCGGCCATGCTTTCAATGGTAATTGGTTGAATGCTGGGGTTTTTATTGTTGTCATTTGACCAATTAATACCCCCTGGTTGACATTAACCCTTGCTGGTTTGGTTTCTACCGCATTAGCAAGGGACGCGGGAAACCAATCGGGGACGGATTAGGTTTCGGCCTCTGCGTCTGGCAGGTTTGCCCTAAAGTTGAACCGATTCCCATTAAAAGAAGGGAAAAACAAACAAAAACAGAAATTGGACGGTAAACAATGTAGTGAACAAATTGAACCCAACCATTGTTGTGGTGGTGGCTGTAAACCAGCCCCAAACCTCCAAACCACCACTCCAGCCCGCCAACTAGAGGGGAGTTGCCTCGGGATGTGAGCTTAGGGAAAACTTGCTGTTAGTCTATGGTTCACTCACATCAGGGACCAACCCTAATTTGCCCATGTCCTCTAGAAGCGTTCGACATTTTGACCCCTCAGCTGTGATGTGGGCTGCAGGTACGCGAAGGCTGGGGCTGCTTTTCTCGGATGGTGGTGAGCTTAGCTTTCTTCCAGCCACTAGACCCACTTCCAGCCCCCCTAAACCACCCAGAGAGATGGTTTTGTAGGCCTCAGTCTGCCGTTGAATTGGGTGTTGGTCGCCATGTTAAGTTGTGATCCTAACCGAAGTTACTCATTAAATAACGCCCTTGTGTGGAGTTGACTTTGTTCGTAGGTTGCGAAATTGGTTGCCTTTTCCACTAAATCTTACTTGTGGCTCAAACAAATTGCAGGAGGGTCTGTTACGCAGGTGTTGGTCCATGTTTCCAGTTAACAGGTGGTAAACTCGACTCACTGGGATGAGGTATGTCCAAATGAGGCATTGTAGAAAGACATCGAACCGCGGGGTTCCATTTTGGAATTCCGGCGAGCCACAGCCACTTGGCAACAAACGTCCAAGGCTTTTTTCGTCTCCGTCCGAAAGTTTTGTCGGGTCTCTCAGGCTCAGAGGTTGAAGAAGGTTTCGCTCGCTCGGGTTCCGGGTTTTCGGGTTCCGAAAGCGGGGGAGACCTGAGCTTATGGCGATCCATTTGATTTTGGTTCACTGGACTGCTATTGTTAGACTTTAACTTTTTGGGGAAATCAAGGGGGTTTTCCGAACTAAACCCCCCAAAAAGTGAAGCTTTTGCAGGAGGTCGTTACCGCAACCAAGTTCAGAATTGGTTATTTCTCCTGGTTTCAAGAGGAATCTATCGCTGGACATCGGCCAAAGGGGGTCCAAACAGATTTGGCCTTCCATGGGTTCCACCTAAACCCGTCTCACCAAGAGATCCCCTGGCTCGGTTCTGAGGAACGGACCTCGAGGCCTCGGGGAGGTTTCTTTCTCCGGAGCCGGTGGTGGCCGTGTTGCCACCTTTGGGTTTGGGGCTTCCCTTCGAAAACCGGCAAGAATCAACCGTGGTTTCCCTCCAAACATCCACGGATTTTTGGGGTGTCCCTTCAGAAATCAACCGATCTGTGGGGTTGCCCTCTAAAATCAACCGATTTCTGGGGTGTCCCTTCGAAAATCACCCGATGTCTGGGGTGTCCCTTTAAAAATCAACCGAAGGACGTGTTTTGGAAGGGGTGTCCCCTTAAAATCAGCCGAACGACTGTTGTTGTGTTTTTTTGGGGGGGGATGGTTTCCCCGAACAACAGGTTTTTTTGTTGAGGGGGTGTCCCTTCAAAATCAGCCGAACGACCGTTTTTTTTTTTTTTTGAGAGAGGGGTTTCCCTGCAAGATCACCCCAACAACAGGGGTGTCTCTTTTTGGAGGGTGTGTCCCTTCAAAATCGAGCCAACAAAAGCAAGATGGATGTACTATCTGAATTAGCAACACTTAGTAACCATGTGCAACACATAGCAAAACATAGTAAACACAATCATGAAATAGTGATACCTAGTGAAATGCATAGCAGGAACAACTAATGTTTGCTAATCTTCCCTACTATTCACTAATGTTTAGGAATGTTTACTTTTTTTCAGAAACTAGTGTTTACTCTTTGTGGAACTTGATTACCAATACGGATTAAGAAACACTAGTAAGATTAGAGATTTCTAGCAGCAAATAGTAAAGCGAATAGTAAGCAATAGTAAAACGAGTAGTAAGCAATAGTAAACGTCAGTAGACATTTGTAAACAATGGTGGTAACTAGTGACCCTTTCCAAAAATGACATATTCTACGCGCTGCCCAACAAAGGATAGTATGAGACTAAACATGTTGCTTATGTGGAGCCCAGATGCCTGGCAGGACAACAAGCAGCACTAGTTAGTAAACATTTGTATTACATATTATTTGCTAGTTGTGTATTTTGCTTTTGTTTGACGAATGTTTACCATTTTTCTACCTTCTACTAATCCAGATTGCTAATCCGATTCGGGGTCACTGCACTTTGCAATTCCAGGCGAGTGTTTGCTGAATAGATATTTTCTGTTTCCGAGGTTTGCCTGAAAGGCACTTTTGACGCTTGCCTTGTGGATTGAAGTGTTATTCTGTTGTGTAGGGGCCACCTGCCAAGACAAAACTACAGTTTCGTTGCCCTTTATTGAACCTGCTGACCAGGAAGTTCTGTGTCAGGTCGAGATTCGATCTGTTTGGAACACCTGCCGACCAGAACATCTGAGGTTTTATTGTGGTCCTAATGTGGTTGCTCCCGCTTTGGTTGGCAATCCACAACAAGTGGCGATTGGACACCAGCCAGACATCCGGTTTCACTGCTTTGCCTTTTTTGGAATCCCCTTTGGTAGTTTGGATTGTGGATTTGGATTGAACCCTTCCGTTGGTTCGGTGATTTGCCCGGAACACCTGCAAACCGGGCTCCAAACTCGGGAGCTGAAGCACTTTTGCTGGTGCTCAGCAGGGAATGAGGGAATGAGCCTGGGGATTTCCTTGTAGGAAGCTCCGTGTTTTGTGCTTGGCTGAAGCATTGCGCCGGCCTTTTGTTTTTTCGAGTAGAGGGTCTATTCGAAATATTCAAACGGTTTAGCTTTTGTTTCTCTTTCAATCCACACCAAATGAAGGGCACCCGCTCGAAGGGATCCTCTCCTCTCCCCTCACTCCGCGCCAATCACCTCTCACCCCACTTCAAAGTTACCCTCAAACAAATGGACACCCATTTTGGGTTCGGAAGCATCGCGCAAGTGGCAAATTCAAATCGCAGCGGAGATTGAGGCGAGAAAGAGCCTTTGCGCACACCGACTCCAAAGTGTCATCCGCGCATACTGGATTTCGATGAGGTGCTCGTTCTTCCAATTAAACTACACCCCACGCGCCATGGCGCGACATCCAACGACACGCTCACCAAAACATGGGTGGACCAAGAGCATGTGTATAACCCGCCCTTGCCTTCTGTGCTGAATTTCTCAACAGTTCAATGCGGATACTGGGCCAGGTAGGAAACAAGTCCTTAATTATGAAAACAGTCCTTTGAACAAAATCCAAATTAACGACTTTTCTTAATTAAATACTTTTGGAGCCTCAGGGGACTCACTCATGAGTGTTATTCCAGTGATGGCCAGCCTGAGTTCAGCTCACACCTCTGGTCACAGAGAGGTGTTAGGTCCTTTGTGTCTCCGTCGGATGTTGAGCATCAGCCGGGCGAGTTGACCTTTTCGAGCTTTTGCTGGGAAGAGACCAACCCAATCTCCAGGGATCCTTCGAACCCAAACGGAAAACCCAGCACCAAAGGTTTTGTTTTGCCTACAACGCGATAATTGAGTGTGTCATCTTTCAGGTTGGGCCCTCCAAAAGGGGTGGGTTTTCCTCTTGATTTCCATTTGGAACCACCAATCAAGGGTACCATCAAAACAGGACAGACTTGGTAAACGACGTGAATTGGCGAGGCGCTCAGCTCTTCGGAAGATCTGCGGGTTCTGAGCTCCGGCGTTGCCGCGCGCAGAGGCAGGCTGCGAAAGTTGGAGTTTGGGCCTGGGGCAAATGGAGGTTCGATCAAAATGAGTTCTTGGGTTCAGTCGCTCCAGTCAAGAACATCTTTGTGTTGTTTGCCCATTTTGGGTTTCTTGGAAATCTATCATTTTTTTTCGGAGCAGCACCGCAAATGCAAGTTGTTGTTCGGGGGAAGCCCTTCTGGTTGGTATCAGACTTGTGTGTTCGGCCCATCAAGTATGAAGGACTCAGGGAGTGAGGTCCGAGGTGGATTTGGAGGTTTTTGTTGCCGTGACTGGCTCGACCAGATATAACAAGCAATCTTTGACCGGTCCCCAAAGGGGGAACAAACCAACATCAACAGGTTCATATGGGTGTGTGAATAGGGGGCCTCTAAGATTCCTTTTATCTTCAAGTCCGGATTAATCAACCTGAAGCAACAGTAGAGATTGCTCAACCCATGCATCAGGTGTCATTTCAACTGATTCCCAACTTAGAACTATCAATGTACTTGGCCCTTATGGCTGTGGCTCAAAAACATGTACCAAAATCGCAGATTGGTAAGTGCCACCAAAGACTAAACCCCGCGTAACCCTAGCTCTTCAATTTTGAGCCGCCCCCTTATGTCCACAAGGACTATGTGGCTGTGGCTGAAAAAACCGGTACCGAAATGGCTTATGTCCTAAAATTACTTAGCCAGCTTCCTTTGGAGGGGGACAATTTTTGGCTTGACACTCAGCTACCCCCCAGGATATCCAGTGAAACCCAGTGGTGACCATAGGACCAGCAGTCAATGGGACCTGGTTGGCCGCGGCGCAGAAAGGTGAACTTGGATCAAGTTGGGTTTTGTGGTTGGCTTCCTGGGTATAAGCCATGAACAAGGGTAATCTGCATTGAGGACTTCTGAGTGGGTTATCGCTTGGGTTAAGAACTTGCTGGCAACGAAGACCCAAGGAGGAAACTCTTCCGGAGATTGGGCGGCGCCGGCACGCGAGGCAGTGCCGCTGAGGTGGCGGCGAGGGTGGCTGCCAGGGACCAGGCGGCTTCGGGGTTGCCGAGCCATGGGAGGGTCGGACCAAATTTTGGTCCGGAGAAAAGTCAGCCAGAAAAACAACCAAACACCGACGGACCGATCTTGTGGTTTTGGTTTAAAAGAGCCACCCAAAAGTCTAGCAACTTGGAAGAAGCTGTTTCTTGGTATATTTGAGGACTGCAAGGGGGAGCCATTGCAGCCTGTTAAGTATTGGTGACTAGGGGCCATCATGAAGGGATGCTACCTCATTACTGTTCCCCTTGCGAGTCGGCCCTGCCGCCTTTGCATGTTGCCAATGTTTCCCTGCCAAATCCAGCAACCAACAGATACTTTTTCTCCGGCCACGGGGAAGTGGGCAGTAACCCTGGCCAAGCATGGTAAGTGGGTAAGGCTTACAGCCGGCGTGACCAAGGTTTGGTTTGACTCGAACGTTTGACTTTCGGAAGAAGGCAACTAGTTGTCCAAACCCGTCCTTTTCACCTTTTGGTCTTCACATTTTGGCAAGACATTTTTAGTGAGGGTCCCCAAAGGTTCACCCTTTATATCTATAGTCCCGTAGGGGCAAGTGAGAATTTCCAAGCAGCCCAGACGATGTGCGGGTCTTCAGCCTCACGAAGCCGGTTTCGTCTTCCCAAGCGTTCCTTACGGGCTGGGAGCCTGCGGAGTGGAGCCAATTCTCGAAAAAAGGAGCTGTACCCGAAACAAACGCGGAAGACTTTCCAGATTTTATGGCTAGGTTGGATCTTTGGACTTCAACCTTTGGGAAATGATGCAGTGGACCCACAGTTTTTTGTTTTTTACTTTTTGCAGAGAGGTGAACAGCACCCAAGGAGAACACTTCTTCCTACCAGGGCTTGGTTTTGCCTCAGGTCAGAATGTGGAAGCGCTTGACTATCGGGCGCTTTGGCGGATGTACAGCTGAGAATGTCCCTGTGAACTTCCCTTTTTTTCTCAGGCCTCCCTTCCAAAAAAGACAAACAAACTGGCAATTGCCGTTGTGTTGCATTGGGTTCGGGTCACTGGTCCCTTGTGAGGCACCAAATGACCCTTTGGTGCCTCCACATTGTTACGCGGAGATTGATCAAAAGGCCCTCTACATGGCATGACCATTGGCTGGAAAACCGCCCAAAAGGATTATTTGCCGCATGGAACAAGTGACCCATGCTCAAACCCGGGAGGCCCTAAATGGAATATTGATCAACCCCCACGTACCGTACCGTGTCCGGGACACACTCGGGTTGCGGCCTTGCGGCCTTAGAGGCTTCCGGGAAGCCCAAGTGATGATTTCTTTCCTCGAGCCCAGGTTTTGGTTAAGCCCGGCCCCGGGAATGGCGTCCTTTCTTTTTTGGGTGAGGGGCAACCTGCGCCAGACTCCATTCCGACCCGCGACTATGCCCAAATCCAGACCTTGCACCTTGTTTGGGGATTTTGGGGTCTCAAGTACTTGCTCACACGGCGGGTCTTTGCGACATCGCAACCCGTTTGCCGTTTGAAACTAAAATGACGAAAGGTCCAAAGATGATGTTTTGCTCAGAAGAGGACCTTTCGGGGAATCGACCCTTTGTCCTTTTGGTTTTCCAATGTTGGCAACCAATTTGAGTCATGGCAACCCAAAAGGTCAAGCTGTTTGATTCTGGGTCCCCAAGGCAACTGAGTCTCTTGGTGCAGTCCTGGAAGCGTGCTAAGCAGGAAAGCAAGAAACAAGGTGTACCGGAAGGGGCCCTTTCAGAGATCATTTGGTGCATCCTCGAGCTATTCGGACCCCGTGTTGATTTTGCGCTTCGCACAGCCGGCGTTGGCCTTGGCCTTTCCCGGCGTAGGAGCCGCCGCAGATTGTGGCCGCGGAGATGTGTCGGCCTCGGCTGCCACGACCGACCCCTGCGGGAGAAGCCCCTGCCATATTGCAAGCGAACAAGGAAACGAGAAACCGATTCTCTAATGTACTGGATTTTGCCAGGGTGTTGTGGTTGAGTATAGGGAAACTGGTTCTGGATTTTGCCATGGTGTTGTGGTTGAGTTTTGTTGAGCAACTGTGCTTTGAGGCAGCACCAATTAGGGGCCACTTTGAATTGATTTATTGTTTGGGGTGGCTTGTGAGAAATACGGGAGCCCCATCAGCGAACAAACAGGTTATGTACTCTTGAATGTTGCTCCGAGCTCAACACAATGACCAAACAACAGGGGGGGTGCAAAATTGGTGCTGAGTACAAAACCATGGGTTAAACGGCATACCGGATTGATCGCCCCTTCAAGCAGGGTACTATTGTGAGTCTGTGCAGGTTCCTCTTGGTGGTTTGGATTGGTGTGGATATGCGAACCACACCTCACCTACCGCTTAAGTGGTGGCTTGGATTGGTGTGGGGGGTTGAACCGATTCTTTAGAGGGTAACATGCGGAAGCCACTCTTAACCAAACCAAACCACCGATTCGGCCCCAGACCACCAGTTGGAGGGAAGCTGACCGTGAGGGAAGATGGTTGACAAACCAAAAGACTTGTGGTGAAACAAACCTTCCAGTGTTGAAGAATGATGTGGAGGAGATATGGATGTGGGTCAAAACCAATGCTACCATTTTGGGGGTTTTCGGTGCACCACCCGTTTTAGTCCTATTTAGCGGGGATTGGGATGCTCACTGGGGGTACGGGATTTTGACCCATGGCCATATGAGCGACTAACTTTATTTACCTTAATGGAAACATGCAAGGGGCTGGAACTATGTTTTTGGAAATGTGCATATTTAGCCGCAGAACGAGTTGGGGAACACCCCGAAAACGAGATAGGGCAAACAAGCATGATAACATGGATTAAGATGACATTTTGGCAAGTGCAGCCTGGCAGAGCGTCTTGGGTTCAAGGTTGTTAGATGTAGTGTAGAGTAGACGACCTGCGCCGCATGGTCCGTGGCAACTTACCACAGACTTTCCGGGGCAAGTACTGGCCAACCCTACGATGCCTAACTGCAAAAGGGTGTGAAGCAAACTTGCGAAGAAGCAGCGTAGCTGGTTTGTTCAAGATTTGCCCCTGGGCAATTTTCAGCCATGTTAAAACGAGTTCCAAAACGAGTTCAAAACGAGTTCAGAACGAGTCCCCTACAGAGTCCAAGTGAGTATTGGCCCAGTTCCTCCTCCCAAGCAATACTTTTCAACAAATTATGTAGCAGCAGTTTGCTTAGCGAAAGGTTGTGCGGCAACAATGAAGGAGACAAAGGAGGCGGCAAGCTAACCAAAGCTCGTTCACTTATTCTTTAAACTCCCTTCTTCAAGTTCTACAGAAAGTTGAGCCAGATAAAACGAGCGCGGTGTTGGAAAACGAGATAGGGGGCTGCGACCGAGCGCGGGGTTGGAAAACGAGTCAGGAACACCCGTCCATTATGCCATGTAGCAAATAAAAGCTGTTGCTCATATGAAGATTTATAGCCAGCGTTGCCCCTGGAGGATCGAGATATGATGATTGAAGAAGCCAGGGCTGCTTGCCTGAATCCTTTCACATCGGTTGAAGCGAAACGGGGGTTGATCAACAGGTCCTTTACCTTTGCATGGGATGACCATTGGGGAGAACCACCCAAGCAGAATTGAATCTCAGCCACATGGGAAAAGTCCCCATGGTCAAATCTGGGGGTCAAAGGGAATATGAACTCTAGGGTTCAAACAATTCCTATTAAAATAGTGGCCCGGACCCACGTCAGATGATGACAACCCTGAGGTAAAAAGAATGGTGGTGAAACATGCACCCGACCATTGAATTGTAGTGGTTGCTTGAACAATTTTTAGGTCAACATAGGTGTTTTTTTCTTCTGTGAACTGAATCCCAGGCACCAGACAATCCCATGGATCGTCCCCCAAACGGACGGACCCCGAAACCCGATACCCGCAAGCCGCAAGCGCCGAAGCCGGCGAAGGGCAGATGGCCTGGGGGACCTGCGCTTGCTCTTCAGTGAGAGGGTGGTGAAGGCACAGGGAGAAAAGAGACGACCCACTCGACTTCCATTTGAAATGCTTTTTGTTTTGTTCTTCTTCTTCTTCTTCTTCTTCTTCTTCTTCTTTTTTTCAATCGGTGTGTTTTGTTTGAAGGTGCCCCTGGTTTGGTGTTCTTCCATGAAATTAAGTGACAGCCAACCAAAACTCCGGCGACTCTACCTGGTTTCATGGGATGGTAGCAAGGCCTATGAAAAAAGCACACACACACATTGCAAGCATGGTGGTGGAGCCAAAAGGCGCTGCTCATGGCTGAAGTGTTCATGTTCCCCTGTTGGTGTAAGAGGGAATCTATCAGTACTTGCGTTTTCATTGTTGTCCGAGGGGCAGAAGTAGAGTCCACTGACCCACAACAGAAACGAAGGCAGCACCGATGTAGGGAAGGGGGGCTGATGTTGCATCCCAGGAACCAAGGGCCCTCAATATTTGTCCCCTCCTGGGGCATTGTACGTAAGGTAAGTGGCTAGTCCTAGACTTATAACCCAACGGAGACTTCTAACCATGGCTTTTGTGGGTGACCAGGCTTACTAACAATTTACCTGACGTACAATGCCCCGTTAAGTAGCTTTGAAACAAGATTTGCATGGGTTGGGGCACGGGGGCGAGACAAACACCACAAGCATCTGCTTGTAAGGCTGTTTGCTGCCGAATCGCCCCGTTTTGGACCTGGAAACGAAAGGTTGCTCCATGAAACCTGGTGATCGACCTTTCGCTCACGGAACCTTGGAGCAGCCCAGGGAACAGCTTTTAAGGCAGTAGTATTTGTTGTTTTTCGGTGATACTGTGGATGGTTGCGAAATCCATTTCGCACCACCTAAGAAGCCATTCAAGAAGAACATTGCTTGTTGGTATTTACAGGGGAATCCTCAATCCAGGGTTTCTTAGGTGCGAAAAGGATTTCGTCCACAGTGTGCAGCCCCTAGGCTTACAACGCTGCCTGAAGATGACCTTGACCCAAGCTTTTGAAGGCCTCGGCTCAAGCAGATCTCCTTCAACGGCAACCCACCAACCCCAGGTTTCCTGCAGGCAAGCCATAGGTATCGAGTTATCTCTCGGAGTGTCCAGGATCTTTGGGGTTCAAACCACCATTAAGATAATGGGGGTTCATATAACTTGGTGGCTCCCAGCTATCCCCTTCGCCTTTGAGGTTTTTAGCGTCTAGTGGGGATGTCCACTTTAACCCACCAAAAGTTAAACTTTTAGCAGGGGATCTGAGGACAGCCCAGATAGCCACCAATTGTGTTTCCCTAAGGATTGTCATGATCCAAGTTGGGTAAACCGGGTCAACCATTCGTCTCATGGGGATTGAACCTTAGGGATGGGGTGACGACTCTGAATTTTGGAGGGTCAGAAGGAGGCTCCGGGAAGGTTTGATGTTATCATAGTATGATGGTAGCGGGAAGCACTGGGTATCTGTCAAAATAGAGGAAATCATACATCAAGGTGGCGTCATTTGGTTTCCCAGAAATAAAAGAAGAAGCAAATCGACCCAAAGCAAAGGCACCCCAAAAAAAACACAACCCCACCATGGGATAGCCTAAAAACACAAAATCCCATATTTGGGCAGCTTCTCCTTTCGTCGGTTCTGGAGGGCCACGAGTCCACGGATTCGAGTGATCGAGCGCAGGCCCAAGAGAACTTCACTGCCACCTTCCGCGTGGTGCCTGGGGCTCACAGGCGCTCGCTTTGTTGTTTGAAGCCGAGGCGTGGTTTTCACTTCCGCTTGCAGATCCAATCAGAGCCAAAACCCACGAGGAAGGCCGCAGGTTTTGTTTGTCTGTTTTCTTCTACAGCTTGTGAAGTACCTCATTTTGCTTAATGATGTGATAATGTTCCCCTGTTGGGAATCGATCACTATTGGAGGTTTGTTTCTATCTATCTTCCAGGGGACTTACGCAAATGGAGGCTCGCAAGAGCAGCCGTCCACTTTTTCCTGTGCAGATGTACATGGAACCCACGAAGCCATCGTCTCTAGAGGAATCTCCTTTTAGGGGACCCTGGTTTGGGGTTCCATGTTGATTTTTCGGTTACCTTTATTTCTGGGGTCTCTTGCAACACTATCATGTAGTTAAGGGCAGATGAACATTTCAAGCAAAATCAGATATAAAACCTATTATTCTCTGCCCAGATGTACAAGCCCAAACCTCCGCTCTTTCAGTTGTTTTCGGTGGGTTTGCCTTGAACATCCTTCTGCCAAACAAGGGTGTCCTGCCTTTTCAGTGGGACTGTTCAAACTATGATGTTGTCTCTTGCACCCCTCCAGTGCCCTTTTGAGGATGTCCCTTCAAAACCAATTCAGTTTGTTGCTGGTTCGGATTTGGAGAACCCCTGGTTCCCTTAATCTAAGGGCGCCTTCCCCATTCTTTCCAGGCACTTTGTTGCTGGTTGGGATTTGGAGAACCCATGGCTCTCATAGAGGGTATATTGGCAACCATCCTACCTCCAAACCACCGATTCGGCCGTCCAAACCACTCTTTGTGAACTCCCAGAGTTTACGGACTTTACATGTTTGGGGGGTTTGGATCATTTTAGTGGTAAACCAAAAAGTACGGTTATGTTTTTGGCCCATCCACTCAGGAGCTCGACCCCGGACAAAACTGGATGCCAAAGCTAATCCTGATTTGTGGAACCAAAGCTTCAACCCTTCAACGGATGCCAACAACTTGGCGGTTCCCAGCCGGGCCCCTAGGGCCCTAGTTTTTTGTTTTTCCCGTTTAGTTTGTTTTTCTTTTTTTCCCCGGTTTCTTGGGGGTTCAGCCATTCAGTTCCTTGTGTCTTTAGATGTTGCTCGTTGGTTTCGTTGGGTTTCCATTTCTCCCACCATGAAGCCTTTTGCAGCGGATCAGTGTGGACAGCACAGAAAAGGAGAATCATCAACTCTAGTACCACCTACTTACTCCCTGAGTTCCGTTTCAGACTTTAGCCACTGTTTTTTATCGGACCATTTTAGTCGTACACAAACAATTTGGAGTTATTGTGGCCTATCCATTCAGCGAGTGAATCTAGGGAGGTACCAAATTCACAAGAAATATATCTCTCTAGTTTCCCTGGCAGCTTGCTTTGGCCACATTGCCTTTACTTGCCTGACTTGCGCACCGACGTCCATGCGCGTTGATGGATCTCCGCATTGCACCTCTATAGTCCCCCAGGAGTCTGGGTGTGCGTTGCATGTGCTCACTTGCTGAGCTCCTGGACTGTAACTCAGCTGCTTGGGTTTGGACCATTTCAGCGAACAACAAGTGGATCTCCTCATATCTGGTCCTCCAGGAGCCTGTGTTTTGCATGTCACTTCCCGAGTTTCGAATTTCGGACTGGAAACAAAATATTGGCGCTGTTTAGCCAATCCGCTTAGATTGCGATTCCATTTGGTCAATAATATGTTGTATTTTCCACCGTTGGTTTTAAAGGGAATCTATCACTACCGGATATAATTCTCATTGTTTCCAGAGGGCTTCAGCAAATGGAGGGCGAGCGTTTCGCTGTCGCACAGTTGGCGGCAGGCGCCTGCACGCGCACGGCCTTCGCCGCGTTCGGCGGCTGCAGGCTGCGCGGGTGGATTCGCTCCAGTGGGGGGGGGGGCGGGGGCCTGCCATTTAGCTGTGGGTCAAAAATATATACCCAAAATGGAACCGTGGAAAATGGAACCGTGGTAAACGGACACTTGGACTAGAACCTGTGGTCCCATGGTGGTTTAATTTTGACCCATACCCAATTGGACCCTGGTTTAATTTTGACCCCCATTTGTTGTCACCCAGGGCCCAGGATTCATAAACCTCTGATCGAGTTAGGGGGTAGGTGTGGAGCAGGGGCGGAGGTGGTGAGGGTTGGAGTTTGCGGGGTTGGCGCTTTGGGTAGAGGGCTCCCTAAACTCCGCAAGCATGAAACATCACAAACACCTGTGGCCAATGTCCAAATATGAGATTCCTTTTGGTCGGGTCATGTGTAAAAGTAACAAATGATGTGCCTTTTCGAGGGCCCCCATGTTTTTGCTTGACAGGGGCACCAAAGGGAACACCCCCGTTTTTTCGGGGTCCCCTAACAAAAACCCACCCAAATCCTATGTGTAATCCTGTTGCCGAGTGGGATGGATTTAATTGTCTTGTGTTGTTTTTCCTTGATGATGACCAACTTGCCTATGTGGACCCTGTGAAACCACCCTCGAAAATGGGACATATCCCTTTTTTGGGGGGGCATATCCATTTTTTTATTTTTTTTTTGGGGGGGGGTAGTGTGTACCAACTTGTGTACAATTATTATTCTTTTTGGGGGGGGTAGTCTGTACCAACCCTTTTTTTTGAGGGGGTAGTGTGTATCAACTTGAGTTAGATGAGAGAGGTACTTTCACACCTGTTGACATGTCTACCATAGAACCCCCCCCCTCCCGCTACCACCTGTTCCCTTACCCCTTACTCGCTAGAGTGGATCCCTCCAAAATGTGTCATATTGACTACACACGGAACAGGGTCATAAATTTGTGGTTTTCCGTGTGCCCCTGTGGAGCAAGTTTACGTTCCTTCAACTTCACATGATATCCAGAAACGACATGGACACTCCCAAACGCAGACTCCTTCAAAAATTGCAACGGTTCCATGACTCTCTGTTGATTCCATGACCTTAAAACCCCACCATCCCCTCCCCTTCTGAATGGGGCCTGAGTTCATGAACTTTAAACTTTTCGGGAAGACCATTTTAGTGGTAAACATAAAGTTTGGACTTTTTTGGGGCCATCCACTCAGCCAGTGAGCTTCAGTACCCCATCGCCCCTTTAAGTTCCCTTGTTCACTTAGTGCTCGCCAGGTGGACCTTTCGCAGAGAGGCAAGCTCTTCATGGAGGCGATTTGGACGGAAAACGAATCGAATCGGAGGAAAAAACAAATTGCGACGAGGACCGTACCGTGTTGTCTCCCGTTTAAAGAAGCCGGGGTAGAGCTGGGGGCTAAATACAAGCTGTCGGGTGTTGCTTTGTGTTTCCAGGTTTGCTTGCGTGCTTGTTTTGGTTTTTGTTTGTGTGTTTGTTTCGGTTCTTTTGTGTTTTGCATGTTGGTTTTTTGACGGACCACCAAACAAATTCCCTGCACATGTCCAATAGAACATGGCCTAACAAGAAGCTTGGGCTGGAAGTTTGCAGGAGCACGTATATTGCTTTGGGTAGACAAGGGGGACAATTTGCCAGAGTTTGCTGTTTAACACTCTTGGGAGGCTAGGCCCCTTTCTTGACCTAAAAGGGAAGGGTCAAAAGACAGTGATTCTTGCTCAGCTGCCGATTGGGCTCCACCGATGTCCATCCTTGCTGTGCGGGGAACACCGGCCGCGAGTAAGATCTCGCTCCCGTGTGTTTTAGCTTTGTGCTGCTTGTGGGAAGACCATTTTAGTGGTGAGAAAACAGTTTGGACTTTTGTTTGGCAAATCCACTCAGGAAGTGAGATGTTTTTGTTGGGAAACTTAATGGTTTCCCTCTAAACCACCAAACAAATTGCACCCTGAAAAACAAGAGACACCCAAATGCACCCCCCTCCCCCCCCAAAAAAAAAGAAAAAGAGTTGACATGCAAACGCCCCCGGAAGGTTTTACTCCCCTACACACAAACATGGAACCCGAAAAGAGGTCCCCCAAATCCAAAGGAGATTCTCCAAACACGAGCTCCTTATTCTCGCACAGAGGAGATCAAGTACGTAGCCTGCAGAGAGCTTAGTGATCCTCATTCACACAATGCGCTGATTCGTGTGTATGCGTCCTTCGCGTCTGACAGACTTGCATCTCCTGAAGATGTACGCTGTTGCACATGAGATGGCCATGCTTGCCGGAGCTGTCTGCAGCCGAGCACGAAGAGTTCATGCTTGAAGGAGAGCGGTCGACTTTTCGTGCATGCGCAATGGCTGTACTGTGAGAACCAGGTCTCAAGAGGCTCAGCCGGTTTGCCTGCGGGCTCGGCAGACCGAATGCCGAGGGATGTGCGACCCGGTTCGAGCTCTAAATAAGGAGTCTCATCCTGGGGTGAACCCTCTGATAGGAATTTGAATGAGGTTATATACCCTTAAGTTATTAAGTGGTGGTTTGGAGTGGTGGTTTGGGGGCTTGACCCCCGTTCTCCAAACACCAATCCAAACCACCGGAAGAAAAGCTGATTAAAGGCAAGACATGGAAGCACGGCAAACTAGCCATGGGATAAATTATCCTGCATTTAATATTGGTTTTGCTGGAACTATGCCCTCATGTTTTGCCCAGGGGACGGACTTCCGTAAATGGGTTTTACAGAGAATCTATCACCAGAAATATGATATCCTTCTTTTACAGGGGACTTGAGTGTTCGCAAATGGATGGGATGTTCTCTTCGCACCTTGCCACTTGCCAAAAACAAAATGGGGGGCTCGTTTCCTGTTGGCTTCACCTCCAACCAAAATGAGACAGGGCCGTACCTGCGGCGCTTCCCCTTAAATCCACTCAAACAACATGGTTCCCCTCAAAACCTCAAAATTTTGGGTAATGACCACCCATTTTGCAAGGGTCGTGGAGACTCTAGGTGAAGACATGCCCTACCCCCGGCCCTTCCACTTCGCTTCGCTTCAGGGCAAGGGCCGTTCGGCCATCTTGCAACTGCACGACCTCCTGATCCAAGCGGGCTGCGATGCGGGGCCGCAGCCTTGTCAGGCCGGGCGAATCGGGAAAGGACCGCTTCGATGCCAAGCGTTTTTTGTTTGTACCGCTTTTTGGTTTTTGGATTTTGCTTCAGATGTTGCTTACTTATTTTCCCTTTGTGGTGTTTGGAATTCATCACTTCTGGAAATATTTGTTTTTTCCCCACGGGGGCTTAAGCAAATGGAAGCTGCCAATTGGTTTGGAATTTCAACCCCCTGGCTTTTGTAGAGGGTAAAGGGGACACTCCTCCCAAAGCCACCAAACCACCGGGCTCCAAACACCCTCTTAGCCACCAAACCGCCAACTAGAGGAAGGCGGATGGTTGGTTGTTCTGCTCGTCGTCTTTCTTTCTTGGTTGTGTTGCGTCGGGGTTGGTTCTTGGTTTCTCCAGGTTGTTGTTGCGATGTCTCACTTGCCGACTTCCGTTCCGGACACTATACTTTTTGGGTTTGCACTTTGGACTTGTTGTTTTCAGGTCAACCTACTCGAGCGGAAGTGAGTTTTTGTTTGGCGTTGTTGTGTTGTCGTCGTGTTTGCCTCTTGGTGTTGGTTGCTCATTGAGGAATGTTATCTTAATCACGTACTTGCCATCCTGGCACACCCCATCAAATGGTGGTTGTCTTTTGGGTTTCTCTTTAAACCCAGCTGGACAGGGTACCCTGATCTACTACACCCCCCCTTGTATGCCGTATGATTGAGCTTGGCAAATCATGTTTTCGCAAGGGTTGCGACCTCATGATGAAGGTTCCTTGCTGGGCATCTTGTTCTCGGTCCGTAAGTTATTGTAGTTGACCAACATTATGATTCAATGATTATTTCAATGATCATTTCAACAGGCTGCAGATCAGGCTCTGCGTGGTGGTCAGCGATCTCAGGGGCCGCGGGGTCTAAACCCGATTTACGTGGTGCAATCCCTGAGACCAACATCGATGGCTGGAAGCGCGTGGATCCAGTTTCTGCTCGAGTTGTTCTTGCCGCCAGTTGAGTCCGTCGAAATGTAGACAAATGTGAATGAAGGTCCGCACACTCAAGGCATGAACTTTGATTTGGGGTCCCTTTGGTGGACATCATTTTAGGTGAGTGGGGTTTATTGCCACCAACCATGTGGCACAGTATTCCAGATATATATTGACGCCTGTAGGCCAAGACAGTCCTCTTGGAAAGGCCTCTTGTCCACTTTCATGTTTGTCAGGAAGAGGTTAGCCCAACTTTGTAGGAGCCTTTTCTACTTCACTGTTTGGCAACAGGAGCATGCGTTCCAGCGGGAGGTAAAGCCTATTGATTGAGCCTTAGTTAGCAATTCGTTGAGACAGCCCAGAGGGTCTCTGAGGCCAAAAAGGCAAAGTCGAATACAAGTTGAGCCCTTCCCAAACCTCCAGTGATGTTCTTTTGGAGGGGGTGGGCCCATGTGAGGCGAACTCTCTATCAAAGGAGTGCCTTTTCTTGGCCCATGGGCAAATCCACTCCGAAGCAGGGCCTTCGGAGACCGAAGCGGTGTTCATCGGTGGAACCAAAGTTTCAGGTTCATTTCACTTTTGGGGTCTGGACATTGTGCTAAACCCAACATGGACTGGTTCAGGCCCATCCACAGGATTGGAAGTGAGTGGGATTGGTTTCCCTGGCAAAAGGCGAATTTAGAGGGTAAGCAGAAGGTGTGGGTATGGTTTTGGACCAGTTCGCTCAGGTAGTGAGTTGCGGGGGGTTGTGGCGCGAGATTGGGGAGTTGGGGATTTGGGATTGGGGAGGTTGGGTTAAAACCCAGGTGGCGAACCACTGCGGCAGTGGAAGGACCGGATCTTCACTGTTGTTTGCATGTTTTTAGTTTTCTTTTGTTTTTTGAGTTCTGTCCATGTTTAGTAGTGGGCTGCAAAAAAACTGTCAGTTTTTTGCAAGCCCACCATACCAACGGTAGCTTTATGGGTACGGGGTTGGATCTTTGGACTTTGGCTTTTTGGTTGACACTTTCCATATCCACAAGAAGCAGGGAGTCTAGAACCAACAAATCGGCCATTCTAGAGTCCCCCTTTTTTCACCAGTTGAACACTTGCAGAGGGGTGGTCACAGCACCCAGGAACCTCCAAAAACCCTTTGGAAAGCCAGAAAATGGCACTGGGTCTTGAAAAGAAATCACCTCCGGAAAACGTCCGGAAACGTCAAGAAAACGGCTCTGGTTCTCGACAAGAAATCACCCCCTTGCAAAGGAATCTTCCGCAAAACGTCCGGAAACGGCTCTGGTTCTTGAAACGGAAACTTTTTTTTTGGCAGAGGGGTCCTTGCACCCAAGTTCTTCAGGCTGTGCTGGAGCTGCCGGAGGGACTCTTCCAGGATCTCAACAGGCCCATGGGTTCCGCCGTCCATCGAGGAATTCGGTTTGGTTGCGGCCTGGTCCGATGAGGCGTGGGAAATCCTCAAAAAGAAGAACAGCGATACAAAAAAAACAACGCTTTGATGTCAGGTAAGTCTTAGGTGGTGTGAATTTGAAGCCTTGGTTCTTGTACATGGTAAATGGGAAACCATCCCTAACCACTAAGAGACCAATCCAAGCCAATGAGTGGGAAGCTGATCAATTGGGGGAGTTTCATTGGGAGTAGTGAAAAGCAAAATTCAGACGGACCATGTCGGCGGAACCCAAAGTGGGGCGCCCAAAGTGGGGCGCTGCTCGCATGAGGCGAACAGTGAACAGCACCGAAGCCAGTTGTCCGTCCATCTGCTGGGTGTGGGACTCTCGAAATGTTAACCAACCCAGCGGGACGACCGTCCCGTTGTTTTTTCTTTCATTTTTTCTTCTGGATATGTTCCCTGGGGGTTGAATGGATCTCGCATGAGCTCGGCGCTTGATAGCACAATTGTGGGAAAGGTGGTTTTCCGGGATGCCATTTTCTGTGATACTACGACAGTCCATCCAAACTGATACCTGAAAAGCCCAGAGGTGCAGAATTTTTGCCACTGATTGAAATTGCACTACATAATGTTTGCGGTTGCTGCAAAAAAACGCGTTTGGTCCCCAAACACGCCTTTGGAGCAGTTCGTGAATATTCAAAGAACTTCTGTGAACGGCCAGCAAAGCCATTGCTGAAAAAACGCCGTTGGCAAAATCAGTCGACCAGCTTCACCTTGCCAAAAGTCATTCTACCCAACAATGCCTGGAGGCAGAAATTGTTGTTCCCAGACTCAAAAAGCAGTTTTCGTTGAAAAGGCGGTCATTTGACACACTTTGGGATATCCAGGTATGGTCGTGGCATGGCGATTCCACTGTAGCAGGGAGCGAACTATGTTGCACAACCATAAAATCTACAAGGGGAGTTCCAAACGTATGCTCCCCTACAATGGAAGGCTCCCAAAATCCCGATCCATGTTAGTCTCTTGGCGGTTCCCGGCCATTTCCTTAGGTTATCGGGTGTTTAGTTGGTTCAGTGGTAGTTTCAAAACTAAGCCACTAAACAAGTTGTCGAGTCCCTGACGTTCCAGGACTTGGGCGGACTCGTCACTTTTTGGGTGTGGACCTATTTTAGTTTTCAAAACAAGTTCCTGGCGACCGCTCTTTGACTCGATTGGAGTTGAGTTCAAGAAGTTTCCCCAATTTGGGTTTGCTTAATTGTCCAAACCCGACCTTTTGACCTTTTTGGTTTTCACATGTTGGTCACCGGTCCACTTTTAGCAAAGGCGCCAAAAAGTTAACCCTTTTATATCCAGGTCCTTTCGGCAAGTGAGTTTGCGCTTGAAGCGATGGGTTCCTTTGTGTCAGCCAATTCTTCTTCGTGCCAACCCCTTAAGGCCAGAAATGCCCGGAAAACACATTCATTTGGGTGTGTCAGTTGTGGAGGGTACCCTTTGTTTGTGGTTTCCTGGGGGAAACCAACAGGAAAACTGTCTCTCTCATTTTTTGGAGGGGTTGTCCCCAAAAAAGACACATCCATTTTTTGAGACGACGGGCCTCGACAGGAACCCCTCCAAGCGTCAGTCCATCTTGCTGAAGGACATTCGCCCACTGGTCTGAGCCTCAGCGACTCAGCCACCAGCACAGGCTGTTGGATGCCTTGGGGCAAAGGCACCTCAAACTAAATCAGGGTACACCAAACAGATATGTTCAATACGAAATCTTTCACGTTTTTGGCGCCTCTGCATCTAGTGAACCTTGCATGACTTCAAAAGTGATCCCAGGGTAGAAGCCATCAGGGTGCTCGGTTTGTTGCCCTGGACACCCCCATTTTCCTCCGTGTCGTTGGTGGCCAGCTGCTTGTCCCCCAAGCGTCGGGCGGGATTTGAGCTGCTGGTTCTTGGTAAAGGGACCCCACCCCCACCTCCAAGCCAGCGGGCTCCACGAATTGGAGAATCAATTTCCCTTGGGGGATACCCAGACCGGCCCCTGTGCCTTTCGGCGATTTCTTGGCTTTCCCTTGAACATCAACCAGGCAAATCAAGTCTTTCTCTGGCGGTCTGGGATACCTAGATCTAGGGGTTAGCTCCATAGCCAACCCAGATTTACAATAGGTGTACCCTCTTTCCAACAATCATGGAAGGGGACAAAGGGGTTGCCCAAAAGGAAAATAGTCTTCCAAAACCCTCCTGTCAGCTTCCATGATTGTTGGAGGGAGGGTAAGGGCTTGAATTCTTGGGATTGGGTATCAACTGGTCCAGACTTGAGCCGCAAAAAAACGGCCGTTTCCCAGCCTTTGGAGGGCACGATGGGCACCGAAACTGGGCACCTCAACGTTTGGGTCGTGGAAAAGACCCAGGGGCTTCAGAGACATCTGAGAACGAAGGGCACCGAGGGGTTGCCAACAACTAAGTTTGCAACAAACACTCACTCTGGGGGTTGGTTCCTGTTCCAGTTTGCAAGAAATACTTCCTTTAGGTTTTTGTTTTGCTTCTGTTCTTTCCACTGACTCTAGGGGTTGATGTATTTTCCATTATTTTCAATCATCGTTCTTTTCAATTAACCAGAGCTGTTTTCCCTCTTTCTTTTCTTTAAGGATCCCTGGAAAGAATGGGGAAGGTTCCGCTAGAAACACCCCACAGTGCCCTTGGTTGTCATTTTTGGATATTTGCCCCCTTTTGGTTTGGGTTTCAAAGGGAAACCAAAAGGAGACCAACTTCTTCATTGCCTTCCTTTTGTTCACCCAATCCTTGGATTTCCCCAGGATGAACTGCGGTTTCATGTTGCCCATGACGGGGGCCCAGTTCCCTGCAAGTGTACAATGTTTGCAGTGGGAAATGTGTTGACTGACCAAAACTTGGTTGGAGCGACATTCACCTGTTTGATCATGTCCTGCCATGTTTTACCATGTTTTGGTTGTGGAGAATTCAAGTGTTGTTTGGGGAACCAGAGACGCCAACAATGGGCGCCCTTTCCCCACAGTGAATTGGTTGGGTGCCTGACCGGTCTAAGGGAAGCCCCTGTTTGACGAAGTCCAGGATTGTTGTTGGTCCCTGGGGGGACAGCATTTGACGTCTTCTCAGATTTGTCAGAACAGGGCCAAGGGTTTCTTCCCACTTGGGAGTGTCTCAACTTAGATTGCGGGCCCCTTGCGGCTGGAATCTGAAGGGAAGCCAACAGTAAGCTATCGATTGTTTAGTTGGGCCCTCACTTCTTTGAGACACACCCACTTGTGTGGGGTACTCTGCCCCAAAGAATCTGAACAGTCTCTAGGAAGCCGTTTTTTAGTATGTCGACAACTGTTTAAGAACCTTCCCCAGGCCCGTGTGACATTTCGGGCCTTTTGATTTCAGAAAGGCAGTCAGTCACCCGTCGTAGCTGTTCGGGCTAAGAGCCCTCGGAGCAAACAAAGAAGCTCGCAGAGTGGTACCAACAAATTCAGCTAGTGGAGTTGCGTCAACCTCTGGTTGTAGTTTGTTGTTGTCTTTTTTTTGGGGGGAAGGCGTGCTTTGCTTAAGGTAGCAGTTCCACTCAGCAAGACAGCAGTACATAGCCCTTTGATACCATGATGGCCCTTTGGGATGTGAGCCCAAAGGATTTTTCCCGGCCCATCCTTTTTTAAGCCACATGAGCCCACGGAAAAGAAATCCGGATTCACAAGGGCCCACTCCGTTCGGCGTCTCCGTTGCTCAGGCCAGGAGGCTAGGCAGCTGGGGGCTCAGAAACGTGGGCACCGGTGCCACGAATAGCCACGCCGTCAGGCTGTTCAATCCGGGCGTCGCATCTAAATATATACCTGGAGTCTCCTTCTGACCTTTGAAAAATGGTTGGTCATTACCCAATTTGTTTGGGGTCATTGACCCATTTTTAAAGGGTCAGAAGGAGACTCCAGGTATGTAGAATATATATATGGCTGTGGTTCTCAAAAAACCGGAATTCCAACATGGCTTGAACCCTGGTAAGTGGAAACATGGACCAACACCTGCGGTTTGCCCCTCCTGTTTAATTTTGAGCCACACCCATAGATAGTTTTAGAGAGAGAGGCAGGTTTTAGTCTTTGGTTCCATTTACCAAGGGGCCATTCTAGTACATTTTTTTGAGCCGCAGCCATATGTAGAGAGAATACACTTGGGGAATCGTGTTCCAATCCACGTTTGTTATCTATGATACCCGTAGTCATCAGGAACCTTCAACCCTTGAGTATGTTTGGTTGGGTCAAAAGCGGTCAACATAGTCGGAGGTACTTTAGACCCTCTAAGGCGAGTGAACCATGCACTCTTGGATTATGTTTGATCGGATCGTTGATTGTAACATGGCAACTGAAGCGATGGACCATGTGTTGAGAACAGCCAACCGCTGAAAAGCACCGCATCTTCTCATTGAGCGGTCCCCAGCCATCGACAGTTCACTCGACGAAGTCTGACCTTTGGCGGGTTGTACGGAGATTTGGCATCCAAGTCTGGTCTGGTCCTTTTGAAAACGTGGTGGTCAAGGGCTTTTCGTGGGTACCCTAAACCCTAAACCCTGAACCCAAAGGTGGTCATGAAACTGTGTTGTTTTTAGCAAACCGTGGTCATGATTCATTGCTTTGTTTCGCAGTGGGTTCATGGGGATAGGGCCACCTATTCGGCGAGCTGCATTCCTGGATTTTTGGACTCGAAGATGTTCACTTCGCCATGGCTCTGCACATACTTCCATGTGGATAAGAATAGTCTATATTTTCCGCTGTTGGTTTGACAGGGAATCTATCACTACTAGATATAAGTTTTTTCCACGGGACTGAAGCAATTGGAGGCATATGTTTTGAGAAACCACAGTGGAGGCTGTCAGCCTCTATAGCCACCACACTCAGGAAGAGCATTCGATCAGTGTTCTCAAAAATGCTAGCCATCCAACCTTTGAGGCCTTATGTGACCAGTGAAAAGACCTGGTTCCTTTGCTTGCGGTTGACGGGTTGACAGTGATACCTGGTAGTGAGCTGTCTTAACCATTACTGTGGATAAACGAAATCCATGTCGCACCACTTTGAAACCATGGTTGAAACCATGGTTGGTTGGTATTTACAGGGGAATCATCATTCCAGGGTTTCTTAGGTGGTGCCGGACTTCGTCCATCCACAGCATCATTAATTTGTTACCGGAACCACGACCCAATCGGCCAAACAAACAGAGTTTTCAGCGATTTTGACAGAGACGGCCATTGGGGTTGGGATCTGACCTCAAAGCGACTGCTTGGAGGGTCAGCCCTGGGTCGCGACATCTGTTTTGGAGGGTGTGTCTCTGTCTATACAGTGCACACTAGCCAACATAAGCACACCTACTGTGGGTGGACGAAATCCTGCATGTTCAGAAGCCCTGGAATGATGATTCCCTTGTAAATACCACCCAACAACGGTTTCCCACGGTGGCAATTTCGTCCATCCACAGTATGAATTGCAGATCGACGACCATATTCATGAGCAACAAGGTTAGCTTCTTCTATCTCTCGGCCGTGTTTTCCTGAGCCGCGGCCTGCGTCAAAGGATCAAGAGCGCTTAGATGCTGTGCGTGTGTCAACGACAAAGCTGAACCACCAGAGATCTTTACCAAAGGCATAGATCGGCAGGTTGTTTTTTTTGCGTCGAGCCGAGCCTGGACAAATCACAAACCTTCAGCAGGAAGGAAGGAAGGAAGGCAACAACACGCTTCTTTTTGCCAGACAAACTACATCACAGCAAAGGAGAAAGGAGCTCATCTTTTTCTGTTTGTTGCTTTCTTGGGGCGTTGGCAGATTTCTGGTTATGTGCCATGCGACCCGGCGGCGGGAACATTTGCTGCGACTGTTGGTGTGTGTGGTACCTTTACTCTACGCGCCGGTCCTGATCCACAGCAAATCCCCGACGGGAGGCCCTGGCATCGTTGAGCCAGTTCAGGACTCCGAGCCGCCGCGTCCGAGTCCGAAACCGCCGAGCTCGAGCGAGCCAAATGGAGCGCTCCAAGCGACGGAAATCCCAGACTCAGACCGCGGAAGAAGGCCGCTGGTGACTGCGAGCATGCTCTACGACACCGTGGATCTGCTGAGCACCGTTTATTTCATGTTCTTTGCTGCCCATGTGATGCGAATCTTGGCCTTGCTCAGGGTACTGGCTTCTCCCATCATTGCACCCTGCCGAGCCATTCTGAGCATCGTTTGCTGGTTGTTGTTTGGCAGTGAGAAGGAGATGATGCGATTGTTCGGAGAAATGCTTCACCAAGCGCTGGTGGCCCTTCAGATCGCTTTGGCGCATGCTCGTGAGCCGCTGATGCTGGCAACCGTCTGGATCATTGATGCTCAGTCCTCCAATCCCGACCTTTTGACCTTTTGGTTTTCCAATGTCGGTCCACTTTAAGTAAAGGTCACAAAAAAAGAAAAGAAACAAATCTACCTGGAGTCTCCATGACCCTTGACAAATGGGCCAATGACCCCATTGGTTTTGGGGTCATTGACCCCATTTTTCAAGGGTCAGAAGGAGACTCCAGGTAGGTTTTCTAGGGGGCCAGTGAGGATGTCTTCGAGTCGATGCTGCCTGGGCAGTCTGGCTTGATCCACAAAGAGCCGGACGATCTCCTCGTCTCCTTGCCAGACTCCAGTGGGTTGATTTGCATAGGTGTCCTTTTTGGTTGTTTTGGTGCCCCTTTGTGGTTTTCCCTCCCTTCCAACATGGCACCTGACAGGGAAAGGGCCCCTCCAAGAGGAAATTGATCGTGCAGCTACCATAGGAGTCCTTTTTGATCAAACTAGATGGCCCTGGTTTACCTGGTGGTTGAATCATCTACCAAACCGGTCAGTGCATCGTCTGTACACGCGGAATTCGGATCGTCTGTACACACGGGACCGGATCGTCTCTGCACGCGGGCCTTTTTTGCCCCGGATCGTTTGTACACGCAGTGCTTACTGCTATGCACAAGCCCTCCCCAAGACCCCACCCCGTCTGTTGCGCGCGAGCGGGTGTGCGCTAGGTAGCAGGCATGCACGCAGTGCTGGGCGGGTGCACGTGAGCGGGTGCGCTTTTTAGGTGGGAGGCGTGAATGCAGTGCTGCGCGAGCGCGCGTGAGCAGGTGCCCCACCCCGGACCCAACCCCCACCCCCACCCCCACCCCCACAGCGGGTGCGCTTGCTAGGTGGCAGGCATGTGCGCAGTGCTCGGCGGGCGTGTGTGAGCGGGTGTGCCCCACCCCACCCCAACCTCCCCAAAGCCTGACCCCAGCCCAGCCCACCCTGAGCAGGCGCTCATTAAGGCGGCAGGCATGTGTTGCACGTGAGTGGGCGTGCTTATCAGGTGGCAGGCATGCGTGCAGCGCTGGGCGGGCGCGCGTGAGCGGGTGTGCTTATTAGGTGGTAAGCGTGGATGCAGCGCTAGGCGGACGCGCGTGAGCGGGTGTGCCCCACCCCGCCCCGCCCCAGCCCCCACCCCCACCCCACCCTTCCCCAATACCGCACCCCATCTGTTGCACGTGAGCGGGTATGCTTATTAGGTGGCAGGCATGTGCTTACCATTCCCCCGCCTCCCCACCCACCCCCCACCCCTTCGGGCTACTCTTCCGCATGCGTGGAAACAGCGCTGAGCGGGTGCACCTGAGCGGGTGTGCTTACCATTCCCCCCTCCCCCCCACCACCCCCCCCCCCCCACAGTGCTGAGCGGGCGCACTTGAGCGGGTGTGCTTACCAATCCCCCCCCCCCACCCCCCCACCCTGCCAAAAGTGTGTGTGTGTACAGATGAGCCAGATGACAGAAACCTTGTGTGCGCAGATGATCCAGAGTGCATGGCGCAATAAGTGAGGAAAGCCTGTGTGTACAGATGATCCAGATTTGTGTGCGCAGATGATCCCCTGCCCTACCAAACCCATCTATTTACCCTAAAAGGACGCCTATGCCAGTGGGTTGATTCCTTGTGTCATCTTTCCTTGGAAGGGGTTGTTTTGGTAGAAACATTGATGGACACCGGGTGTACCTGGTTTAATCATCTACCAGGGCCATCTATTTACCCTAAAAGGACACCTATGCCAGTGGGTTGATTCCTCGTTTCAACTTTTGGAGGTTCTTGAACAGAGACCCCACTACCAAAAAGAGTGGGCCGAGTCTGTGTTTCCCCCCATGGAAGTGCTTTGGGACCCGGTCTGGGTTTGTTCCATCATTTCCAGCAGCAACAAGTCATGTCACGTCTTGCACATGTAAATCCAACTGAGTCAGTAGCTTATAACTTGGATTATAAGGGGATCAGCCTCAGTTCCCCAAGTCATGACCATGGTTACAGCCTGCTTACCCGACGTTGGTTGAGTACTCTGGATGGACGAAATCCTGCACCATCTAAGAAACCATGGAATAAGTAGATTCCCCAACGTAAATACCAACCAACCATGGTTTCAACCATGGTTTCATCTCGTGGTGCGATTTCTGGATTTCGCATCCATCCACAGTACACAACCAACGTCAGGTAACTAGGTTGTAACCGTAGGTCATGACTTTGGGAACGTCGATCGCCTTATAATCCCACTTATAACCTACTGACTCAGTTGGTTTTTCAAGTGCAAGACGTGACATGACTTTTTGCTGAAAATGATGGAAAACCAAACAAGGCAAGTTGTGCTCCAAACCCATACCAACCAACCATGATTTCTGGATTGCGCAACCATCCACAGGATGGCGGGAGCTCGCTTTGCCTGGCCGAGGCCTTTGCAATCTACTTCTCG